ATGTGAGCCAGGTCTGTCCCTCTGGAGGGCAAGGTCACAGAGCTACAAAGGGGTGGGGCAGGGGGATTGGTGTAGCACGAACCCTGTGTGTTGGATAGGGCTTAAGCATTTCCAGTGAGTGTGTATGGTTTTAGGGAGGGAGGAAGAGGGGAAGGAGGGAAAGAAGATAAAAAGGATGGAGAGAAGGAAGGAAGGACAGGAGGGAGGTAGGAAAGAAGGAAGGGAGGGAGGGAGGGAGGGAGGGAGGGAGGGAGGGAGGGAGGGAGGGAGGGAGGGAGGAAGAAGGGAAGCGAGGGAGGAAGGAAGGAAGGAAGGAGGAAAGGAAGGAAGGAAGGAAGGAAGGAAGGAAAGGAAAGAGGGAAGGAAGGAGGGAAGGAAGGGGGAAGAGAGGAAGGATCTATCTTTAGGACTATAACTGGACATCTACAGCATCATTTTTTTAAAATTTTTTTGCTTTTTGGGTCCCACCCAGCAATGCACAGGGGCTACTCCTGGTTCACGCACTCAGGGGACCATATGGGATGCTAGGAATCAAACTTGGGTCGGCCGCATGCAAGGCAAATGCCCTACCCACTGGGCTATCTCTCCAGCCCCTCTATAGCATCATTTGACTAGTTCCAAATTAAAGCAGGTTTCCAATATGAGAAATTTACTTTGTAAAATGCTATCTATGGTCCCGGAGTGATTATACAGTGGGTTGGGTGCTTATTGCATGCCACCCACCAGATTCAATCCTCTGCACCCTATATGGGACCCTAGCTCACCAGGAGTGAGCTCTGAGTACCTCGGGTATGGCCCCATACCAGACAAAAAACAACCAGACAAAAAATAATATCTCTGTGTGTGTATGCGTGTGTGTGTGTGTGTGTGTGTGTGTGTATTTACTCTTGCTTCTTTGGAGCCACATCTGATGGTGATTGGGGGTATCCTCTGCGATCAGGCCTTTGAGACCAGGGGACCCTGTAGACCTGGGGATCAGCATGTGCTGTAGTTGTTGGAACCCTCTGCCTGGCCTCTGTGTGTTTTTAAAGAAGATGAAAGAGTAGAACAATATACACCTTCAGTGAGAAGATGGACTTATATGAATAACTTATTTATTATACTTAAGTAGTTAAAACTTTCTGTTTTGTACTTTTTAGTATTTTTTCCCGAATAATAGCACCTGTTAAAATCATCATCACTAAAAGTTTGGTATCTCAGAGTTTTCTAAAATGCATTTTCTAGGAACTGAAAAGATAGTACAGGGACTAACCCACTTGCTTTGTGCACGGAGAACCTCGATTCTACATGTGGCACCACATACGGTTCCCCAAGCTCCACCAGGAGTGAGCCCAGAGCACAGAACCAAGAGTAAGCCCTGAACAATGCTGGGTGTGGCCCAAAATCCAGACAAAAGAAAAGGAATGAAAAACAATTTAAAGAACCATAACTTACAAACTTATTGATAGCTGAGTTTTAGGCATATAGTATTTTTTTAAATTTTTCAATTTTTATTTTTTTTTCATCACACCCAGCAATGCTCAGGGGTTACTTCTGGCTTTGCACTCAGGAATCACTCTTGGTGGTGCTTGGGGGACCATATGGGATGCTGGGAAACGAACCTGGGTCAGCTGCGTGCAAGGCAAACGCCCAACCTGCTGTGCTATTGCTCCAGCCCCAGGCATATAGTAGTTTAACACCAGTCTTACCACCAGTGTCAACTTCCTTCCACCAGTGTTCCCGTTCTCCATCTCTCTCCACCCCCTGCCGCCTTCCCACCTGTCACCTTGACAGGCACATGATGAAGTCCAGAGGCTGCAGCTTAGATCTCATGTTTCCAGTGTTGTTGAGTCAGTGTTTTGGATAGATACCGGCTGTACCTTTCTTCCACATCACCAGTATAACCAAAGTCCCGGCCCCCTGGTCCCCCCATTTTTTCCCTTTCTCATCTTCTTCCTTCCCCCCTTGATTTCTTTCCTTCCCTTTTCTTCCCTTCCCTAAACTCTTGGGTCAAGGGTGATCTAAGCATCCCCACTTTCCTACACTATATTAAAAGAAAAAGTATTTCTACTCATTAATTGCTAGCCAATAAGCTTTATGAAAAGTGGTGCTGGAGATGTTATTCTTCTAAGGCAGTTTTCCCCCCCTCTTGTTGTTAGAAATATTATTGAAAGTCACTATTAATATGATTTGTAGAGGTAGTACAGCAGGTTTAGCATTTGCCTTGCGTGTGGCAGACCCAGGCTTGATCCCCAGCACCCCATAGGGTCCCCAGGCCTTCCACATTGAAGCATGGAACCAGCAGCAAGCCCTGAGCAAGGTGTGACCCCCAAGCAAAAGAAACCAAAATAATGATTTGTAAACATAAAAACCGCTTTCCCACATTTTCAGAATAGTTAAAAAGCTGTTAAATCTTGGACTGGAGTGATAGCACAGCGGGTAGGGCGTTTGCTTTGCACGCAGCCAACATGGCTAACACAGGTTCGATTCCCAGCATCCCATATGGTCCCCCGAGCACCACCAGGAGCCTTTCCTGAGTGCATGAGCCAAGAGTAACCCCTGAGCATCGCCGGGTGTGACCCAAAAAGCAAAAAAAAAACAAAAAAGCTATTAAATCTAGACATTCACTTATAAATCAATCCCAAATACACTATCATTTCTAATAATAACTTGAAAATTATTATTATTCTTAAATCATTTCCATCACCTTAAAGAAACATTTTAGAAATAAAGGAAAATTTTAAAAAAAATGAAGGGAAAAACATCTGGCAGATCCGACTGCCCAGAGCAGAAATGGGTCTTCATTCAGAGCCACGCTCGTTCCCACTATCCACCTGCTAGATGAGCTTTGTCCACTGAAGATTTGTTCCACTGATAGTGTGACGTTGCAGGTGTGGCCTCTGGTGGAACCTGACAGTGCCATGAAGTCTTGCATTGTCGGGCGTTGTCGGGCTTGACCAAAGCTCCTGCCTGGGCTGCTGTGGGGCGTGAGAACTGAGTCTCGGGGGTACCTGGGCACTGCAGTGCTCTGCTGCCACGTTGGGAACCACCCCCATTCCACGCCGTGGCCAGCGCAGATAGGAAATGGTGCAGAAGGCCTCAGTCTGCACCCCCTCTCCCCCCCGCGTCTTTCTGTTTCCTTTCAGGAAGACCCATCCACTCAGCATGGCGTTCACAGTGTCTGCTCCCTGCAAATGCCACCCTGGGCACCTCCCACTCCTGACCGGCTTGGGGAAGGGGAGGAGAAGCTGTGTGCGTTGTGTGGGGGCTTCACCCACGGTTATCCCTCAGCCCCGGCAAACAGGGGTCTTCAGACCTTCCCCCAGTCTCAGAATCTTGACCCCGGCTCCATCTTCTTCTCAGTATGCCCTCTTAACTGCTGCCAAGCCTCTGGAGGCTTCCTTCCTCCTTCCACTTTATTCTAGAAGCCTGCACCAGGGTTCTGGAGCGGCCCGCCAGCTAGAGCTTATACGTGTCATGGCTCCATGCGTGTCTCCAACACATGCCGGGTCACCCCCCAAGGGGGAGAGCCTGTCTGGCCCGCACCCGCTATTGCTCACATCCCCAAGAAGTGCCAGGCAGCCCCTGTGACCCTGGGGGTACTTTCAGGGTCCAAAGTGCGTGAAAGACCCTGTCAGCTCCCCATGTGCAGAGTCACCTCTGCTGGACTCAGTGCAACACCGGCAGGAAGATTTAGAGGCCAGTTGGATGGGGCTGACACAGCACCATGGTGGCTCACTCACGGTGGCACAGAGGAATTGTTGCCGAGCTGTGTTTCATGGTGGCGGACAGGGGCCCACCCGCTAGCCCACCTGTCCTGTGCCCTCCTCTCCTCCAGCTCCCTCAGGCCCCTCTCAGGTAGGCGCCCAGAGGGTGTCTGTGTCTTCCTGCGTTTTCTCTTCCGCGGTTGCTGAGCATGAGAGTTCCTCAAGGAATTCCATCCTTGGGGCTGCTGGACTCACGTGGGAAATGTTCTCATGGTCCAAGACATCCTCTCTGTCTGCCGCCTCTGCACTCATCTTCTCCCTTCCCCACACAAAGGTCTTCCCAGAGGGCCAAGAGTCAGGTCAGGGAGATGGCCTTGTGGCTGTCTTCAGGTCGTTGACCTGGTTCAGTTCCCAGCACCCATGGTCAACCCCCAGCCACCACCTGGTGACCCCCGAGGACAGTCAGGAGTGGTCCAATTCCCCCCCAAAACAAAAAACAGAAACAAATGGCCCTGAACTCTGCCCCCAGAAACACGTGAACCCATTTTCCCATGGCTGCAATGACCTAGCCCAGGCCCTTCCTTCTCAGTCACTTGCACCAGCTCTCTAGGGACAGATGTGACCCTTTCTTACACTAGAAATTCATCTAAAGTGACCGGGAGCCCATTCATAAGTGTGGGGGTCCCCCATCCTTTCTCCTGACTGAAAAAAAAAAAGTGAAGTAAAATGAAGTGAATGTTGACTTGCCTGGCGACACGGAGCCCCTCTTTCCTCCCCCAGAGGGAAATTTGGCTTCTTCTCCTGAAGCCGTTGAAAAGCCCCCACCCGCCCCCTTGCTCCTGGCTTCTCCTGGGCTCCCGAAGGTGTGGATTTATTTACTCCCGCGCGCGCGTAATTAGTTCTCGGGGGAGAGCGTGTCTCTGGCCGGGCTTCACGGCCACCCTATCGGCGCTCCGGATAATCAGAACCGCCTGTCAGGACGGGAAGGCGCAGTAAATAGAACCACATGTCAGGGACTGCTGCTCGGCCCTGGCGGGGGACGACCTGGACAGGACCCGGAGAATCTCCCCGGACACAGTCCCAGCAGGCCCTCAGGCCTCCCCCTCAGCCAGTTTGGGGGTGAATTGGGGTTTCTCGCCCTGTGGCTGACTTACCCGTTCCAGAAACCATCCCGAGGTGACCTGCCTTCTGGCTTCGAATCTCTCTGACGACTGAACTGAGAATTGGCCCTCCCCCTGTTCCCCTCCTGCCCCCCACCCTCAGGAACACACCCCTGTACTTCTGAATGACAGGTTTTTTTGTCACCACTGGCAGGTTGATGTTTGAGATACCACCAGAAATGGGTTTAATCGCCATTGCGGGCCGCCAGACACAAGGCAGAGGTGAGCATGGGGTTTGTCTGTTCTTGGGTGAGGTCTCTGCAGGCCGTGCTTCAGAGACGATCTCCTCTCCTGAAAGGTGGGGCAGAGTGGGAGGAGGAGGAGGGAAGGGGAGGAGTGGAAGAGAAGGGGCAGGAAGAGAGGGAGGGAATGGAGGGAGGAGGAGGAAGAGAGAAAATGGGGAAGAAGGAAGGATGGGGAGGAGGGAGGGGAGGAGGAAGTTGGGAGAGGGGAGTGGAGGAGCGATGGGGAGGAGAAAGGAGAGGGGAGTGGAGAAGGAATGGGGAGGAAGAAGGGATGGAGAGGAGGAAGTGGAGAGGACGATGGAGGCAGAAGGGATGAGAACAGAGGGGAATAGAGGAGAGAGGGTTGGAGGAGGGAGATAGGGGAGTGGAGGAGGGAGGAAGAGTAAGAGGAGGATGGAGGAGGGAAAGGAGGAGGAAGGAGTGAGAGAGGAGTGGAGGCTGTAGGGGAGGAGGAAGAAGAGAGAGGGGAGTGGAGGAGGGAGGAAGGAGGGAGAGGAGGGGAGGAGGGAGGGGGAGGAATGAGGGAGAGGGCAGTTGAGGAGGGAGGGAAGTGGAGGAGGGAGGAAGAAGGGAGAGGGGAGGGGAGGAGGGAGGGGGGAAGGAGGGAGAGGGGAGTGAAGGAGGGAGGGGAGTAGAGGAGGGAGGGGGAGTGGAGGAGGGAGGGGAGTAGAGGAGGGAGGGGGAGTGGAGGAGGGAGGGCGGTGGAGGAGGGAGAGGGAGGAAGGAGAGGGGAGTGGAGGAGGCAGGGGGAGGAAGGAGAGGGGAGTGGAGGAGGGAGGAGGAGGAAGGAGGGAGAGGGGAGTGGAGGGGGAGGGGAGGAGGGAGAGGGGAGGGGGAAAAAGGAGGGAGAGGGGAGTGCAGGAGTGTCTTTCACCTCCAGCAGTGACACCTGTGACTCAGGTGACACCTCACATCCTGGCTGTCACTACGGTCCCCTGCTTAGAGCCTGCCCTGTGGCACGTGGGGTGTGTGCCCTAACAGTGCGGCAGAGATACCTGTTTTCCTGAAGGTTGTCTGGGGCTCTGCTTTGTGGCTTTGGAGTGTGAGGTGGGTCCCCTCACTGGCTGCTGACGGCGGCGGCCTCCGGGAAGCAGGGATGGCTCAGCCCTGGGTCCCCGCCCCAAAGTCCCCATAGGAGGCCACCCCTGCCCACCCAGTGCCCTGTCAGCTCAAAGCAGCTCCTCTTCCCATCTCAGATGCAGCCCCCCAAAACGAGTCCACCTCCCCCAAACGAAGAATCCACTGTTTTCTCTCTTTCTCTTAAACATGTCAGACAGACACCCGTCAAATAGAAAAAATGCCAGTTTGTCGGCATTTTGGATTCAACCTGGTGCTAGCCAAGAGAAGACAGTGGAACTCCCATTCCTCTTGTTTTGATCACTTCATCTTTCTGATTTTTGTTTTGTTTGGGGGCCACACTCAGCGGTGGTCAGAGATCATTTCTGGCAGGACCCAGGGCACTGTAGGGGTGCCAGGCATTGAACCTGGGTTGGCCATGTGCAAATCAAGTGCCTTACCCGTTATACAATTGCCAACCCCCTTTATGATTTTTTTTCGTTTTTTCCCCCATAGGGCTGAAGTGATAGCACAGCGGGTAGGGCGTTTGCCTTGCATGCGGCCGACCCGGCTGACCCGAGTTTGATTCCTCTGCCCCTCTTGGAGAGCCCAGCAAGCTACCGAGAGTATCTCGCCTGCACGGCAAAGCCTGGCAAGCTACCCATGGCGTATTTGATATGCCAAACACAGTAACAACAAAGTCTCACCATGGAGACGTTACAGGGCAAATTGATGAACAACAGGAGGACAGTGCTACAGTGCTTTTCCCCCATGGCCCCTCCAACGATTTTTGTTTTTAAAGAATAACCTAAGAGGGTTATTCTCAGAGATCCCTTTTCATTTTTTTCATTACTATTTTTCCTTTACCCACTTGTATTCATTTTTTTTTTTTGCTTTTTTTTTGGGGGGGGGGTCACACCCTGCAATGCACAGGGGTTACTCCTGGCTCATGCACTCAGGAATTACTCCTGAAGGTGCTCGGGGGACCATATGGGATGTTGGGAATCGAACCTGGGTCGGCTGCATGCAAGGAAAACGCTCTACCCGCTGTATTAGCCCTCCAGCCCCAGTATTCCTAATTATAAAAAAAAAATGGTGGTGACACCCAGCAGTGCTCGGGGCTGACTCCCAGCTCTGTGCTCAGGGTTGGCTGCCAGCAGGGCTGAGGGGATGAAGTCGGCTCACGCTCACGTGGGCGGGTGGGGCCTGTGTTCCAGGGCGCGGCAGGAACGCGTGGCTGAGCCCCGTGGGCTGCGCGCTGGCCACCGTGCTGGTCACCGTGCCCCTGAGGTCCCACCTGGGACAGAGGATCCCCTTCGTTCAGCACCTGGCGTCGCTGGCCGTGGTGGAGGCGGTGAGGTCCATCCCCGGCTACCAGGTACGTTCACTTTCCCTCCGTGTGCCCCATGTGCACGGTGGGACGGGCAAGGGGTGAGCGCCGGCGGGTGCCTGCGGAGCGGATACCGCGGCCAAACTGGTCACGCGGGCCCCTAACGCAAGGAGTACCGGGTCGCAGACACCCACCTTCAAACAGTGTGGTAGGGTGAGCCTGTTTCTGCTGTAACTGAAGCAGGAGTGACCAGAGGGAGTGATTGGTGATTTCCAGTTCATGGGCCTGAAAATCTTTCTTAGCCGGGGACTCCACTGCCTGGCCACCACACAGCACCCCTTAGTTCCTTGGTGACTCCAGTCCCCAGCTCCACGGACTCACGGACCACTCCACTAATGTGCCACTTTCACTGCCAGTTTGTGAGGTCAGTTACGAAAGAGAAACAGGCTGGGTATTCACGGGGTGGCCCCAGCTCTACCTGCCTCATCCTCCATCCTCAGAGCAGAGTTTTGAAGCTAGAAAAAGGGACTTTGGCTCTTTCTCCCCTTCCTCCCCCCCACCAGATTTTGCTCTCATGAGCCTGGTGGAATGTCCTGAAAAACTGCCAGACTTTTGGTACAAAATGTGGCAGTACCACCCTGGCGAAGTCAGACAGGACAAAAAAGGCAGCAGAGGTTGGTGCGATAGCACAGCGGGGAGGGCACTTGCCTTGCATGAGGCCAACATAGGTCCAATCCCCGGCATCCCATATGGTCCTCTGGGCCCTGCCAGGAGTGATCTCTGAGTGCAGAGCCAGGAGTCAGCCCTGAGCATCGCTGGGTGTGGTCCCCAGCCCTCAACAAGGGCAAGGATTCTCTGGATGCTCAAGGCAAATGGTTATGGAGGTCACACTCAGCCAGTTTTCTGGAAAAGGGCTAAAACGACAAAGAAAATTGTGTGGAGGCTTGAGTGCATTGAGCCCAGCTGCAGAGCTAAGAGATGCAGCCTTTGGGACTGGGGGACTATTTATTATTTATTTAATTTTTTTTTTTTTTGCGTCACACCTGGCGATGATGCACAGGGGTTACTTCTGATTTATGCACTCAGAAATTACTCCTGGCGGTGCTCAGGGGACCATATGGGATGCTGGGAATCGAACCCGGGTCAGCTGCGCTCAAGGCAGACACCCTACCCGCTGTGCTATCGCTCCAGCCCCGGGACTATTTTTAAAAAAAAGTTATAAGGGTCAAGGGATCCAGTTATGTGCTTCATCTGCAGACTTTAGAATCTTTAGAATTAATCTGCATTCTGCTAAAATCAGGTCACGGTTGGCATTGGGGGAGAGACATAAACGAGGGTCATGAATAAAGTTCCTTGCAGGGGGCAATTTGCTTGATCAAAAACAAAACCATAAAAAGAGGGGTGATCCTGTGCCAGTCCTTCAGGCCCCTGCTGTGCATTCTTCACGCCCCAGGCCATTGGCTGAATTCTGGATGCCCAGTGCTCAGATCAGGTGTGACAGTGGTTGTGTTCTCACATCACCTCAGACAGGCTGCGTGCAGTGTCCAGCCCTCGACTTGGACATTTCTGGCCTTTCCTTGCACTCGCAACACTCCCTGGTTTTCACAGGTGCAGCCCATGGCCAGGACATTGTCCTGAGGACAGTCATTGAAGGGACAAGGCTCAGTCCTGGGAACTTTTTTTTTTTTAACTATTGAGAGCCTGGCAAGCTACCGAGAGTATCTCACCCACACGGCAAAGCCTGGCAAGCTACCCGTGAAGTATTTGATATGCCAAAACACAGTAACAACAAGTCTCACAATGGAGATGTTACTGGGCCCGCTCGAGCAAATCGATGACCAATGGCAGGACAGTGCAGTGCTATTGAATCACAATGAGATACACAGTTACAGAGTTGTTCATGCTTGGGTTTCAGTCATACAACGTTCCAACACCCTTAGTTCCTTCACCAATGTACATTTCTGTTCTTTTTTTGGGGGGGGGGGTTCACACTGGTGATGTACAGGGGTTACTCCTGGCTTTGCACTCAGAAATTACTCCTGGCAGTGCTCGGGGGACCACTTGGGATGCTGGGAACTGAACCCGGGTCAGCTGCATGTAAGGCAAACACCCTACCCACTGTACTATCGCTCCAGACCCACCAGTGTACATTTCTGACCACCAGTGTCCCCAGATTCCCTCCTGTCCCTCCCCACTGAACCTGCCTCTATGGCAGACACCCCTGCTTTCCTTTTAGGCATTGTGGTTTGCAAGACAGGCAGTTAAAGGGGATCATGCGTATCCCTTTGCCTCCTTTCAGCACTCAGTTCTTGTCCAGAGTGATCATTTCCAGTTTATCAGTGCCATAGTGGTCCCTGCTCTGTCATAACTACCCCTCCCCCCACAATTTGTGACAAACTTCCTACAGTGGACAATTCAGAATGGGCTGGAGCAATAGCACAGCAGGAGGGCATTTGCCTTGGGCACATCCAGCCTGGCTGAGCAGGGTTCAATTCCTCCGCCCCTCTCGGAGAGCCCGGCAAGCTACTGAGAGTATCTCGCCCGCACGATAGAGCCTGGCAAGCTACCTGTGACGTATTCAATATGCCAAACACAGTAACAACAAGTTTCAAAATAGAGACGTTATTGGGCCCGCTTGAGCAAATTGATGAACAACGGGAGGACACTTAATTTAATATTTTTATTATTTTTTTCATCACTGTGAGATACAGTTACAAAGCTTTCCTGTTTGAGTTTCAGTCATACAGTGATCAATCACCCAACCCTCCACCAGTGCACATCTTCCACCACCGAGAACCTCAGTATCCCCCCCCCATCCCACCTCTCCCCCTGCCTCTGTGGCAGACAGTCCCCCCCATACCCTCTTGTATTGCTTGTTATGAATAGCATAAGATGTTGCATGGCCCCTCTCAAAGCTGTGTGCTCCTGGAATTCTAAAATTTTAGATAATTAGGGTCTGGAGAAATCTGCATTGCGCTGCTCAGTTCAGAGATTCTTTTGTGTGTCTCTGGATCATGGCCATTAAGGAGCTCAAGTAGCAGCCCGAGGCAGTTTGTATGAGTGACCTCCAAGGTCCTATGGGGGAAGCGGGGATAAGAGGGACCAGCCCATCTCCTATCCATTGTGGTCTGGAGTTTACTGTCACTGAACCTGCGCACCTGCTCTTCTCATTGGGTTCTGGAAGTTAGCAGCTGCCGGGGTTTTTAGGGGGCAGGTGGAGGGGACACTCACACTTTTAACCTTAGCAGCCAGTAAATAAATGAGTGACTTAGAGAAATAGGGAGAATAGTGAGCCCGGACGCATAGCTGCACATTCTGCTCACTGTCCTTCTATTGACTGATTTGGGGGGACACACACCCAGCAGGGCTTGGGGAAGGGGGCTGCTCTCAGCTTGTGCTCAGGACTTGCTCCCAGAGGTACTGGAGGTGGTGGTGGAGTGGATGGGGCCGCCCACAAGCAAAGCCTGTCTGTCCTTGCTCTGTCTCGGGGCTCGCCATCCCTTCACCCCCATGCCACCCCGGGTCCCTGCCGGCTTCTTAGTGCAGCTCTCTCTCTAGGACATCAACCTGCGAGTGAAGTGGCCCAACGACATCTATTACAGCGACCTCATGAAGATTGGGGGCGTGCTGGTCAACTCCACGCTGCTCGGGGAGACCTTTCACATCCTCATCGGTAAGTGTTCGCCACCTCTCCCTGGACCTTCGGAGGATGGAAACGGAACTCAGGGCGGGAAACAAGGACCCGGGGACGGTGTTGCCCAACATCACATGCATTAGGCTTCAATCCCCACCACCGCAGAGGGTCCCCCAAGCACTGCCAGGAGTGATCCCTGAGCACAGAGCCAGGAGTCCACCCTGAGCACTACCCAGGGTGAACTAAAACAAAACACACACAAACAGAACTCGGTTCTGAGTGGCTCCTAGGGTCACCTCTGGTGGGGCTCCCTACTTACTGTACCATCGCTCCAGCTCTCCCAAAGACCCCCATACATTGTAAATGTCATCATTCTTTCCCAGGTGAGTCACGGGGCCATTTATTTTCACTGGGAGGCCCTACGGACGCTGGCCTTGCAGGAGTTCTCACAGGATCTCAGACCTTAGTGAAAAGCTCTCGAGGTTGATCCTGGACTTGCAGAGAGCGACTCCCAAGTTTGGCATCTCCCTGAGGGGTGGGGTGTGAAATCACAATTGTTCCATCTGGTTCTGTCCTCACCCCCTGCCCCAAAGCCTGAGTCTGTGCGAGGTCCCCTGAATCAGAGCGTGGCCCCCTACTCCCCTTCCTAAGAAGATGGGCAGCCTCCTGGGCCACGTCTTAGGATTATGTCAGGGCCACAGGTGGGCACCTCCAAGGTCAGCTTGTTCCATCACACCTGGGCCTGGGGCTGAGGAGTCAGTTGTGGACTGTGCGTAGACTTTGCATGCAGGGTGCCGGCTTTGGTCCACATGCCCCCTCAGCATCCAGCTGAAAGTGGCCTTTGAACCACCACCGGATGTGCCCCCCGCCCCCCGATACCCAAAAGAGACCTGCGAAGTGCATATGCTCTGTCACTTGAGGAGGACGAGAAACACGTTATTTGCCACCTGGTCCCTCCAGCAGAGCCCGGGGCTGGCCTGACACTTGCACTGAAGAAGAAGAATCCAGTATCTCTGTGGGGCGCTGGGTGTGGGCCCAGCCCAGCCTGGGTTGCAGAGCTGGTCTGAGATACCTGTGTCCCCATGGTGGGGGGTAGGGGGGGGCCGTGAAGACAGTCCCTGCTGGTGCCCGCCGGGGGCAGCTCAGCTCACGGGTTCTGGGTGTCGGTCACTTTCTGGGCAGGCTGTGGATTCAACGTGGCCAACAGTAACCCCACCATCTGCATCAACGACCTGGTGGCCGAGCACAGCAAGCAGCAGGGCACCGAGCTGGAGGCCCTGCGGACGGACTGCCTCCTGGCCAGGACCGTGAGCGCACTGGAGCGGCTGATCGCAGCCTTCCAGGACCAAGGGCCTGACGGCGTGCTTCCGCTCTACTACAAGTATTGGATCCACAGGTGAGCACGGCCGTCTGGGGCTCTGATCCCACCACCGAGTCCGTGGTGACATTCTGGGTGGATTTTGTTTGTTTTGTTTGGGTCCCTCAGTTGTCAGGGCTCAGGGCCTAAGCCTGGTGGGGTTATGGGGGCCGGATGGGGGTGCTGTGGGTCAAAGCTGTGTCAGCTGTGTGCAAGGCAATGTCTACTCAATGTCTACTGTCTCTCTGGCCCTGGCCCTGACATTTTTGGAGGGAGTCGTCCCAAGCAGTGCTCCAGAATGAGCTTTACTTGGCAGAAAAAACAAAAAAACACCAGTAAACCTCAGAACCCAGACCCACTCTGCCTTCATTCATTCATTCATTCATTCACTCCTTCACTCCTCTTCCAGATCATAATTTCAGGTCAGGGTCAGGGGAGCTGGAGGCCTCCAGCACAGGTTAAGGATGAGACCAGGCAGAGAGAGGATGTTCCTCATGACAGGCACCCTCACCCACTCACACGCACACTCGTGCAGTCACTGGAAGTACCTAATCTCTCTCTCTGACACACACACACACACACACACACACACACACACACACACTGGTCCATTAGGAACTATTGGGATACCCACACATACATACACACACACTCCCCCACCAGGAACTATTGGCATCTCAATCACACACACATATACACTCATTCACACACACACACACACACACACACACACACACTTTTTCATACACACACACACACACGCCTGGACTTATCCTCCAGGAACTATTGGACAGCTCAGTCTCACATACACACACACACACACACACACACACACACACACACACAGAGTCATCCGTCAGGAACTATTGGGATACCTCCCCCCACATACACATACAAACACACACTCATGTACTCACAGCCAGAAGGTACACAATCACACACATGCATATTCATCCATCAGGAACTATTGGGATAACCCCCCCCACACACACACGCTCACGCGCTCACTGCCAGGAGATACACAATCACACACACACATACATACACACACACACACACACACATACTCATGCATTCACTGACAGGAGGTATGCAATCTCACACACACGCACAAACACACACACGCACACACATACACTCATGCACTCACCAGGATCTATTGGGGTACCCAGTAACACACACAGAGACAACAGAACCTCCCCCATTGACTTTTGTATGGGCTGTGGGAGGGAATTGGGACCCCAGGAACAGACCCCAGACTTGGGGAGAAGGTGCCCCAACAACGAGGAGTGAGCCTTCCTCCCCGAGCAGCATGGCCGTAGACCCCCCAGCAACCACGCCTCCCCAGCTCCCGTGGCTGGCACACACTGAAACCCAGGCTTTGTGTCTTCCAGCGCCCAGCAGGTCCGCCTGGGTGGCGCCGAGGGCCCGGTGGTGTCGGTGGTGGGCCTGGATGACTCGGGCTTCCTGCAGGTGCACCAGCAGGGCGGTGAGGTGGTGACCGTGCACCCGGACGGCAATTCCTTCGACATGCTCCGCAACCTCATCGTACCCAAGCAGCACTAAGCCCCGAGGGATGGGGACGCTGCTCCCACCGGGTTAATCTGTTACTTCTCCCCCTCGACTTTCGCCTGTCCACTTCCTGGCGTTCGCAGTCTTCCTCGGGGGGCCTCGTGGGAAGCCTCCGTGAGGGGCGGCCCCACGGCCAGCCCTCGGGTTGAGGATTGTTTTTATTGCCCTCTCCCCCCCCCCCCCCCCATCCCACTCCCCATGTTTTTATGTGGAACTGGCCTTGGAATCATTCGGATATTTTCCCAGACTGTAACCCTCGGACTCAGGGAAACGAAAACCAGTCAGGCAGACTGGGAGTTAGAGGCTGGGGGATGCCTTTCATGAGCACGGATGGGGAGCCCTGCCCCCCCTCCCCGCTCGCTCTCTCCTTCTGGTTAATGGAGGGACGAGCTGGCCAGCTTTTCTCAGGCTGGGGCGCACGCTGAGCGGCCGCAGAGATGCTCCTGGCAGGCCGCTGACACTGACCGTGTAGAGGAAACGGGTTAATGACTCCGACATTACTTTACGGGCTCGCCTTTCATAGGCTGAGATTTACTGCCTCTTCTGAAGCAGGGGATCAGGGTCAGGCATTGCTGGGGCGAGGTGGGCGGGGGTCGGCGGTCTAGGCAGGGGGCAGAAGGTTTGGCTCACGCAGCTGGAGGCGAAGACTCCTTCTCAGACCACCTGCAAGGGAGAGGGAGGTTTGAGCCTTTTAGGCGATTTGAGGCTTGCTTTGAAAGAGCAGGTGGGGGCCAGCATTTCCCGAACTGCTTGTGGCTGGCAGAAATCTAGTATTTCATTTGCCGGTTGAAATTATTACTGATAGCGAAAACTACAATGGGAAGGGGGACGGGGGGAGGTGTGAAGCTTGGAAGATGCTCAGAAGATGCTCAGAACCGGGTCCCCTCTTGATGTCACGGAAGAACGAAAGAGAGGCCGCCTTTTGGTACCCGCGCCGGGCCAGATGTGCTCAGGGCTGTCTCCTGCCACGCCCGTCTCGAACTTGTGAATCACAGACATGACTTTGCAGCCTGCAAAGGCCCCATTTTGGTCCACTTTTCTCTCTTCCTGCCGAAGCGAGAGGGGTGGAAATGAAGATGGGTATGCCCACCTCTGACTAAAGGCCCTTTCTGGGTCATCAGCGCCATCGTGGCTCAGCTGTTCCCCATCCTAGCACATCCAAGAAATCTGGTCATGGGACCAGAGTGGTAGTACAGCAGGTATGGCATTTGCCTCGTGTGTTGCTGACCCAGGTTCAATTTCCGGCATCCCATACAGTCCCCTGAGCACCGCCATGAGTAATATGTTCTTTTTGTTTGATTTTGGGGCCACACCTGACAGTGTTCAGGGCTTACTCCTGGCTTTGTACTCAGGAATCCTGGTGGTGCTCAGGGGACCACATGGGGGGCCAGGGATGGAACTTGTGGCGGCCGCATCCAAGGAAAGCACTCTGTCCGCCCAGCTGTCACTCTGGCCTGGCCAGGAGTAACCCCTGAACATCTTCAGGTGTGACTCCTCCAACCAAAATCAAACAAACAAGAAAACTGGTGATTTCCAATCTAAGAATCCATCATTAGCCAGACACATGCATAGGAGAGAAAACAAGGAGCCCACCTGCGTCCTTTAGGGCTCCTATATCCAATTAGTGGATTTTAGAACTAGAACCCGAGAAGAGCTACAAAAGTCATTTTCACAAAAGCATCAGAATGATTTCCCCCTCTCCCCCCACCAATGCCCAGGTCTCCTTTTTTGGCTTTAGTGACTTGTGAATAGATGCCCGCAGCACCTTCAATTGAGAGCAGTCTCGACCCTGCAGGAGGAAACCCCAGGCTATGCCCTCACTGTCGCGGGCCCAGCCCTGCTCTTCCAGGCCGCCCTGATGAAAAACATAAACAGCTCGGCTTGGGCGGGTGGTGGTGGTGGTGGTGGGGGGAATGTTTTCATGTCATTTCCTTTCTGTAAATTCAAACTAATGAGGTGCGGCCCCGCCAGGGTGAGGGAAGGTTCCGAGTGGGCCCCAGTCCCCGGCCCCCAGCTTTCGCCATGCGGTGAGAGATGCACCATCCCTGAACCAGGTTCTGCCTCAGCATCAGAGACTTGAATCAGGCTGCCTTGGGGAGCTCGGCCTGTCCACTCCACTCTCCCCCACCGCGGGGGCCCTCCGTGCTCCCCCCAGCCCCCTCAGCACCCAGGGGCTTCCCCGAGCCACAGCAGCCTTGCACCTGCTCTCACCCTCCCCCAGGGCGGCCTGCCCCCCACCCCCCAGGCGCCCATGCTCTCAGGACCCACGAAGCTGGCCTTCAGGCCGGAGGTCGTGCCTTGAGCTTCCCTTCTGGGCTGCTAACAGGTTTCGGGGCGGGGGGCTCTTGCGGCCGTGCCCCCTAAAACCATACACAGCAATACTCAGAGTTCCCCGGAGCCACAGCCCACCCTGCATGGGGCATCCTGGCAGCCGTCTCGGGAGGTCAGGATGGGGGGCATCCGTGTGGGAGCTAGCAGCCCAGACGCACACGCGTGCGCGTACACACACACACACACTACACAGGCAACACCCACAGAGGCCCTCTCCCCCCAACACACACTCACCCATCATCGAGGTCACAAACACACAACATAAATGTTCCCGCCTTCAGCATACACAGACACACACACACACACAACCCCCTCACAAGTAACACACAGACTCACAACATCCACAGGGCACACGTGGCTAGGGTCAGGCTGCCTCGCCTGCCCTGGCAGAGGACGAAAGGGTGACCTGGGCTTATGTTTCTTGGATCTGTTTGCTCTTAGCAGAAAATGGAGATTCCTTTTCCGCGGGTAATTACTATGCATATTTGAAATAAAAGAAAGTGTGAGCCTTTGCATTTATAGCTTTTCAGAGAATTGTCTCTGAAAAGTCATTAAACCAATGCCTATAAAAAGCAGTCTACCAAAATAAACTTTTCAGACTTTCTATATAGTTTGGACTCACTTTTTTTTTTTAATAAAGATTCATGTTTAAAAATAGGCAGCGAATTTTGGATACAGTATTTTTATTCTTATTTAAACATTTTTACAAAATAAATAGTTATACATAATTAGGAATATGGATGTTTTCCAAAGTATTAAAAATCACAAGCTTGGGGGGGGGAATGCATTTTTGACAAAGGTATATGCGTCATACAATAGAAAAATCTTATTATTCCAAAGAACAAACATTAGCAAAACCAAAAAATACAAAAAAGAGCCTTTTAACTGAGATGAGAAAAAAAATCAATTTAATGTTGTTTACATTTTAATATAAAGTTAATGTGATGGGTTTACTATAGGAACAGATTTTGTTCTTGTAGAATTTGCTCCTCTTTTAGGAAGACTGCAGAACTTTTGCCTGAACCGTTTCCGCCCCCCCCCGCCATTTTTTTGTCACTTTTTCTGGGCCACATTCAGAGGGTCACTCTTGGCTGTCTTGGGAAAGTCCTACAGCGGGGACCCATTCCACTCCCACTGCACTCAATATCTGCATCCCTCCCACTGAGCTCTCCTGCCCTGCCCTGGGACTTAGAATATCGTATGTAAGTGTAGGGAAGCTGCAGAAATGCATTTTAGATAACCCAAAGCCTACAACTCACTTGAATGCATGCGTTTGCAGATGTGGTTCATTTGACCAAGGGCAGCTGCCACGGTCCAGTTCAGCTGCCTCTTAATTCCCGTCACCTTCCCAACTGGAGCGCCCATGGGGATGCAGGTACAGGGTGGGGGGTAGGGGTGCTAGAACTCTGCAAAGGACCAAAGGGGTAGTCGAAAATACCTGGTCCTGCGGATTTCCTCAGCCTGTCATCACACCCTTCCCTGCTCTGGGAAGGTAGGAATAAAATGACTCTTCTCCAAAGTCCTTCTCTGCACGTAAAGGAATTCCTCTCCCAGGAGTCCAGGAAGCAGGACCAGCCGGCCAGTCTGTAACTGGGCTCAATCCCATTCGAGCTGGTGTTTTTATTAACATGTTAGCACCGACTACACTCTCTCTCTCTCTCTCTCTCTCTCTCTCTCTCTCTCTCTCTCTCTCTTCCTTTTTTGTGAAAAAGAAACGTATACATTAGAACGCCTCCTCTCTCGTGCCAGGGTCCACAGAAGTCAGGAAAGCAAACCTCCCGCTTGTGTGTGTGGGCCCTGAGGATGGAGAGAGCTTCTCTGCAGACGCCCCCCCCTCCTCATCTGTGCACTGCTGGCTGGTCTGAAACCTTCCTTCCTATCCTATGCAGTGAACTGCCGGGCTTGGTGAGACAAGGCTCTCCCTGGCCCATATTTTACACTTTCAAGCACTTACCGTTAAAGCCTGTTTCCGTTCTAGTTTTTTTTTTTAATAAATCAGAGGTCTTGGATCCTGGGCTCCTCCCAAAGCCGTCATGGTATTTACAGCCCGCCTCGGTCATGGTTAATAACCAGGTAGACACAAGAGCATTTTGTAATACTTTATTGAAAAATATCGGCTGGTATCTTCTGCACCTTCAGGGAATAATGGTTGTTTCTGAGATGTGTTGTGTCCACGCACTCACCAAGGGCTGCTGATTGCTGATGAGGTATAGCTGAGTGTGGCGCCCAGTTGGGTGCTCCGACCCTCACCCAGCCCCCTGGACACACTGACTTAGGTTCCTGCTGGTTTCTGGTGAATTTGCAGATTCCGCCCCGTTTCCCTAAGGCAACGGGCACCTGCTGGCTTCCCTCATCTCTCACATGCCAACGGTCCACGGGAGGTGCTCGCTGCTTCCAGAACAAGGAGTTTCAAAACAGGGGTGAAAAGCCTCTTTCCCCTTGAAAGAGTGGAAAGTACTCCCTAACGTAAACCATTTCTGAAAAAGCAGCATAGTGATGGAGTGTGTATAGTGTGAAGCTGGTGGAAAAGATGGAGTTTTCCATGCATATAGGAAGACCCTTTTCAGAGTCAGGATCTGATTTGGATCAAGGAAGAAACCTTGAAGCAAAAAAAAAAAAAAAAAGAGGAAAGAAAATAAAGGAAACAAAAGTAATGGACGTCTTCCCCGACAGTGCTGGTTCTTTATTAAAGGGTTGCCTGCCCTGCCCATGGTGTGCGGAATTTTCCAGCTTGTGGGTAGGAAGCAGACAATACGAATGTCTCGTTTTCCTGCGTCCCTTGGGCACGTTTTCTTCACGAGGCGTAGCCCGGCGAGTCTTCCACATTGCACATGCAGTTTAATTACCTCGGTCAGCACTACCTGCAGCCAGCACCGACCCGGAACCACAGGTCTCTGCGATGTGGATCCTTTTGCCAGCCCGTCATGCCCTCCACATGTCATTCCCATAAAATATCTGCCTCTATATATATATAATTTTTTTTTTTGCATTGAATGCCTGTTCAATATATTCTGAAGGTGCTCTTCTTGGGCTCACCAAGAGTTCGTGGGGGGTTAAGGAGGTAAGAACTTAGGGTCACCCTTGGTCTCAGCTGCTTGGCTTTTTTTGGTATTGAAAGCAGAGGTTGGAGTGAAACAACTCTTTAAAAGTGAGACTCTTTAAAAATGACTTTTTAAAGACAGCAGCGCTGTCTGTTCCCAGGGCTTGCACAATAATTGCCCTTCTGCCTTGACTTGAGAATGTAAAAGGAGGTTCAAGTGCAGGGTGGGGGGTGGAAGCCCCCTCCTCCTCCAAGCTACCCTCTCCCCCAAGATGCGTGGCACCCACCTGATTGATTGGGTGGGGGTGGGGGTGAGGGGAGGCTTGTGCACCACCAGGAAAAGGATGTAGACGCGCACCGGGGACAAGGCAAGCCCGCCACACCCCGTCCCCCGCTGCAGACCAATTTTTGAGGTCCAGGTGGGGGTCCTGATGGGTGGGGGGGCACGCAGCCGGTCGCCCCCCAGGAGGAGCATCCGCCAGCCCCGGTTCCCTTCCCGGGCACGGGGAAACGGGTCACCTCCCGTTGGTGATGATGACCGAGGCGCCCAGGTAGTGCGGCAGGGGTGCACCGGGCGGGGAGGCGGCGGCGGCGGCGGCGGCGGCGGCGGCGGCGGCGGCGGCGGGGCCGGGGGGCCGGGTCCGCAGCGCGCCGCTCGCCGCCGCCGCGTCTGGGCCGCCGGGGCCGCCCGCCAGGTGAGCGGCGGCGGCGGGCGCAGCGCCCCCCAGCGGCCCGCGACGGGCCAGCACGCGGTGGTAGTTGAGCAGCACGAAGGGCAGCTGCGGCGGGGGCGCGCCCGGGGGTTCGGGGGGCGGCGGCGGCGGCGGCGGCGGCGGCGGCGGCGGCGCGCAGCACTCGGGCGTCCCGCGGGCCAGCGCCAGCCGCGGCCCATCCCGCGCCACGTGCCGGACCCCCTTGCCCGGGCCCAGCCCCGCGTCCTCGCGGTAGTGGCCGCAGCTCGGGAAGCTGGAAGAAGGCGGCGGCGGCGGCGGCGGCGGCGGCGCGGCGTCCTCGGCGAACCTGCGCGCGGCGGCCACGGGCGCTGCGGGGACAAAAGGGGACACTTGAGAGTCCGCGCGCGGCGGCGGCGGGAACGGTCACGAGCAGGAACGCGCGCGCGCGCAGAGCGTTTGCCCGGCACGTGGGTTCGATCCCCGGCACCCCAGAGGGTCCCCTGAGCCTCTCGGGAGTGACCCCAGAGCGCAGACCCAAGGAGGAGTAAGCCCTGAACACCACCGCATGTGGCTCCCCAAACCTAAAAACGGACACGTGGCTAGCTTAGATGAGGTGCAGGATCAAAGTGGGGTCAGTTGTGTGCAAGACAAGCACCTTATCCGCTGTGCTGTCTTTCCAGCCCCTATGGGTTTTGGGAGGGTCCCCACACTTGGCGGTGCCCGATGCTACCTCCTGACTCAGACATCACTCCAGGGCGTGCTCCCCGGATGTAGGTGGACGGGGGATCGCTTTAGGCATGAACCACCTCTCCATTCCCTCTTATTTGTTTTGTTTGTTTGTTTGTTTGTTGCTTTTGGGGTCACACCGGCGATGCACAGGGGTTACTCCTGGCTTTGCACTCAGGAATTACTCCTGGCGGTGCTCCGGCGACCATATGGGATGCCAGGAATCAAACCCTGGTCCGCAGCGTGCAAGGCAAATGCCCCCCCCCCTGCTGTACTATCGCTCCAGCCTCCAGTCCTTATTTGGTTTGTTTTTAGTTTTGGGGTCACACTTAATGGTGTTCGGGGCTTACTTCAGGTGCCGTGCTCAGGGATCACTCCAGGTGTCACTGTGGGGACCAAAGTCGGGTCAGCAGCACACAAGGCAAGTGCCCTCCAGCTCCTCTGGCTTTCCTGATCGTTTTTTATAGGATCGCGGCTGGGGCTGGGGAGGCAACTCGGGGCCACAGACACCCCAGGCCTGTGCTCCATCACCCCGAATTACATCCCCTGCCCTGGCTGTTTATAGAATCTCCTCTGCCATTTGCATGGTTACTCATACCCCCCCCCCCCCCGCCCCAGGCCCAGGGCCCAGCACCCAGCTTTTCTCCCTGGCATGGGGCTCTCTCACATTGCGTGCAGGGGAGATCTGCAAGACCTCCTGGGCAGCAGGAGAGGACACCGCCTGGCCCACACGTGGGAGGGCTCTCCCTCCACATACCATGTCTGTCACCCCACGCCGCCGGGGGTGTCTCCAGTCCTGCCCTCCCCCCACGCAAAAAACGCCACCCACCTTCGTAGCTGGGCACCAGACCGTGCCGAGCAGGGGTCACTGGTGGCTCTGAGAGGTTTTTAGCTGGAGACGGGCTACTGGGCACGAGGGGGTTGGCATAGTGCCACTGGCACTCGCCGCTGGCTGGCAGTGTGCTCAGGAAGAAGCGTGCCATCTCGCAGGGCGTGCCCGCGGGGGGCCCGAACTTGGCGGGCAGCATGGGCTTCTTGCTGCTGAAGACGGGTGCGTCCAGGGGGAAGTGTCCGTAATGGTAGGAGAAGGGCAGGCTGTAGGAGGGCGCGTACACCAGCTCACTGCCATCCGCGTGGAGCTGCTGCTCTGGGGGCGCAGACATGGGCGCCGGGGGGCTGCTTCTCCAGTTCCCCAGCTGGCTGCTTTCCATTCTGTCCATCTGGAACGAGCTGTATGGCTGTGGCCATGCAAGGGAGATAGGTTAAGGCTCCAGGGGCGGGCCGGCATCCACCTTCCCCTCCCCAGAGGCTCCACAGTACCCACCCCCTCCCCCAACCCCGGGTGGGACACGCCCCTGCACCCCAGCTGGGCTCCACCAGGGACAGGGGCATTCAGGGTGCTCCATGCCTGCTGGAAGGAAATGGAACAACAGCAGGCACTGGTGGCATTCAGAGCTTGCAGAGTGCTCCGGAAGCAGGGGAGGGGGTGGGGAGGGAAGGAGGGAAGGAAGGAAGGAAGGAAGGAAGGAAGGAAGGAAGGAAGGAAGGAGGGAAGGAAGGAAGGAAGGAAGGAAGGAAGGAAGGAAGGAAGGAAAGGAGGAGGGAGGGAGGGAAGGAAGGAAGGGAGGGAGGGAGGGGGAAGGGAGGAGAGGGAGGGAGGGAAGGAAGAAAAGGGAGGGAGGGAGGGAAGGAGGGAGGGAGGGAGGGAGGGAGGGAAGGAAAGAAGGAAGGGAAGGAGGGAGGGAAAGAGGGAGGGAGGGGGAAGGGAGGGGGGAGGGAGGGAAGGAAGGAAGGGAGGGAGGGAGATAGGGAGGGAGGGAGAGAGGGAAGGGGAGAAGGAAAGAAAGAGAAGGAAAGAAGAAAAGGAAGGTGGAGGAAAAGGAGAGAAGGAAGGAAGAAGGAAGGAAAGAAGGAAGGAGGGAGGGAGGGAGGGAGGGAAGGCAAGGAAAGAGAGGAAGGAATAGGAAGGAATGAAGAGGGAGAGGAGAGAAGGAAGGAATGGAGGGAAGGAGGGAGGGAGGGAGGGAGGAAGCCAGAGTGATAGTCACAGTGGGCAAACTGTTTTGCCTTGCATGCAGCCAACCTGGGTTTGATCCCGGTCGGTCCCTGCCCCCGCCTCCCCCCCCCCCCGGCCCCTTGTGGTCCCCCAAGCACCATCAGGAATGATCCCTGAGTGCAGAGGAGCCAGGAGTAACTCCTGAGCATCACTGGGTTTCAGAGGGGAAAAAATAGGAAGACTTTTATTTAAAAAAAAAAAAGAGAGGTGGGGGCCTGGGGAAGTCAGTCTGAGGAGGGCTGGATACGTACTTTGCATGCAGGAACCCTGAGTTTGATTCCTGGCACTGCATGCCCTCCGAAAGAAGAGAAACCCAAACCCAAACCAAACCAGAATTACTAACATCAGGGACGTGGCTCAAGGGGTTGAGAGCAGGCAAGCCGGACCAGCACCATTGGGAAGGACCCTGGTGGCCCCATATCACCACTGGTTGCGACCCTAATGGTAACAGAGACCCCCCCGGGAAACTGCTCCGGAAGCAGGGTGCCCCCTGTGAGCTGCGGTTCTGAGGGGCAGTGCCTTGGTCTGCTTTCTCCTGGCCCCCACCGGGCTGTCTTGAAGCCCGGAGCCGCGTCCCTGGGCTGGGCACTGGCTTGTTTGCAGGACATCCCAGGGTTGTGACTTCCCGACCTGCCACCACAGGGGACCCTTTCCTGACCCTGCGCCCGCCAGTCCAGTGCCTGCAGGTTGCAGGCTTACCTGTGGGGGGTCCGGGGAGAAGTTGTCTCATCTGGACGTCGTGCTGGACCTTTCGCTCGCCTCTCCCGAGTGTCGTGGAGTAGCAAGGGAGTCTGCGGCTGTCCCTGGACCTGGTGTCCACGGTTGGCCCGTGGGACACCTGGTCCAGGGGACAGCCGCAGCTCCTTGTACTCCACGTCACTGGGGAGGGAGAGGCAAGGTCAGCCGCGTCCGTGGCACCTTCTCCCCGGACCCCCCCTCCAGCTGCAGGGGACTGTTTATTTTATTTTCTTACTGGGGGGTGGCGGGGTGGGGGACATAGCTCTGGAGCAATTCCTGGTGTGCTCAGGAGTGAGCCCTGGTGGTGCTGGGGGGTGGGGAGGCATCAGCGTCAGGAATGCTAGGGGGTGACCCGGGGTTGTGGCCAAGGCTAGTGTCCTCACCTGCACTGTGTCTCCACCTCAGGGGCCCATTGCGAGGGGATGGGCAGCCACTCCCAAGTGATGCTCCACGGGCCAGGGGTCTCCCCTGGTGACTCTCAGCCAATCAGACAATTGATTCAGTGCAGGGGACCCAGGATGTCATGCTGCTCGGAACCCACAGTGCGGAGGGATACCTGGGGCACCCTGGCAGTGCTTGGGGATCATGTAGTGCCAGAAATTCAGCCTGGGTCCAGCATTTGCCAGGTGAAGCCCTCACTGTCTCCCGGACCCCAGGGGTTCATTTTATTTATTTATTTATTTATTGCTTTTTGGGTCCACACCCAGCGATGCACAGGGGTTACTCCTGGTTCGTGCACTCAGGAATTACTCCTGGCCATGCTCGGGGGACCATATGGGATGCTGAGAATCAAACCTGGGTTCGGGCCACGTGCAAGACAAACGCCCCTACCCGCTGTGCTATTGCTCCAGCCCCTGGGGTTCATTTTAAAGGGCCATTTGCTGTGACCCAGAAAGCCATCTTCATGGAAGCACAGGGCAGAAATGCCCAAGGATAGAGACCTCCAAGGTTAGAGACCCCAAAGTTAGGTCCCCTGAGGTTAGAGCCCTGAGGTTAGAACCCCAAGGTCAGAGCCCCCACGGTTTAGAACCCCCAAGGTCAGAGCCCCTGAGGTTAGAAGCCTCCAAGGTTAGAACTCTCGTAGGTTAGAGTTCCTCGAGGTTAGGACCCCTGAGGTTAGAGCACCCCAAGGTAGAATCGAGTTGGAGTTCTCCCAGAGTGCAGCCTGTGGTGGTCAGACTTGAGGCCTTCTCGGGAAGAGTTGGAGGCCAGCGTGGTTCTCTCCAGTCTCCCGAGGTCCCAAGTACACTGCTGGGAAAACCTCCAATGCTAAGGAGTGCCTCCAGGGTCCAGTGGCCTCAACAGTCAGCCTAGGTGGGGAGGGTGGAGGTCCCTCCCAGGCCCCACGAGCATCCAGGGTGGTCTGTGTCCCCATCACCTGCCTCTGTCTAGGCCCTCAGCGCTGAGCCGTCAGGCCAGGTACATGAAGCCCTGCTTGGGGGTCAGGGAGGAAAGCGGGCCCCTCAGGATGGGGATCAAGTTCATACCCAGTGGGGTGCCAGGTGCCTTAACAGCATAGCAGTGGGGTCCCTGCCCACTGAGGAGGTGGAGGGTGGGCAGGGGGAGAGGGCATCGGGAGTGGGGGCTGAGATTTGGGTGAGAATTCTGGTCCTCCAGCTCACACCTCAAGAATGGAATGTCCTCCTCTCTCCCAGCTGTGCTCACCCTGCATCTGTCTCTGCTCCTAGACTGTACCCAGGATGGGCGCCCTCCCCGCCACCCACCCTATTCCCACAGCCACCCAGCATCCAGGCCGCCCCCACTGTAGAGAGTAAATCAGCTGGACCATCCACAGGTTGTTTAAATAAAAACAAAACAGGAGACAAATGAGGGAGGGGAGGAGGGAGAAATGGTGGGGGTGAGGGGAGAGGCGGAGGGGGTTGGTTTGGGGCTGGGGTGAGGGTGCCTATGGGGGAGGGCCAGCACAGGTGGAAGGGAAGGAGGGGATTTATAGGGGGAGGGGGGTTGGCATGGGGAGAAGAGGAGGGAGCGAGAGTTGGTGAAGGGGACGAGGGGGAGGCGAGGGAAGTGGGGGGAGGAAGATACATGTGGGATGGGTAGGAGATTGGCATGGTGAGGAGGGGAAGAGGTGATTTATAGAGGGGGAGGGTCGCCATGGGGAGGGGAGGGGAGGGGAGGGGAGGAGAGGGATGTGGGGGGAAGAGGAGGATGTGGGTAGGAGATTGGCATGGAGAGGAATGGAGGGGGTGTTTAATAGGAAGAGAGAAAGGGTGTGTGGGGAGAAGGGAGAGAAGGTGTGTAATGGACAGGGAGGAGGGGGTGTGAGTGGGGAGGAGGGAGAGGAGGTGTGTAATGGGCAGGGAGGAGGGAGAAGAGGTGTGTAATGGGCAGGGAGGAGGGAGAGGAGGTGTGTAATGAGCAGGGAGGAGGGATTGGCTTGGGAGGAGGGAGAGGAGGTGTATAGTGGGTGGGGAGGAGGGAGAGGAGGTGTGTAATGGGTAGAGAGGAGGGAGAGGAGGTGTGTAATGGGTAGGAAGGAGGGAGAGGAGGTGTGTAATGGGCAGGGGGGAGGGAGAGGAGGTGTGTAATGAGCAGGGAGGAGGGATTGGCTTGGGAGGAGGGAGAGGAGGTGTATAAATGGGTGGGGAGGAGGGGATGTGTAATGGGCAGGGAGGAAGGGTGTGTGGGGAGGAGGGAGAGGAGGTGTGTAATGGGCAGGGAGGAGGGGGTGAGTGTGGAGGAGGGAGAGGAGGTGTGTAATGGGCAGGGAGGAGGGGATGAATGGGGAGGATGGAGAGGAGGTGTGTAGTAGGCAGGGAGGAGGGGGTGAGTGGGGAGGAGGGAGAGGAGATGTGTAATGGGCAGGGGGGAGGGAGAGGAGGTGTGTAATAGGCAGGGAGGCGGTTGAGGAGGTATATAATGGGCAGGAAGGAGGGATTGGCTTGGGAGGAGGGAGAGGAGGTATGTAGTGGACGGGGAGGAGGGGTGCGTGGGGAGCAGGGAGAGGTGGGCAGGGCGGCGAGAGAAACAAATCTGCTGACTTACGTGAGCACATAATTGACACTCACGATGCAGTGCGGCCGGGACGAGCGGCTGTTGTGCACGACGGTGGCGCAGCTCTGCACCCACACCCAGCCGCCCAGCTTGGACAGCAACCGGTAGTACTTGGTGGTCACCTGGCCCTTCACCAGCACTGCGGACACAGAGGACACGGGTGGTGAGTGGGACCAGCCCCACCCACGCCCTCCAGCCCTATGCCTGCTCTGCCTGCACCCCAGACCCCTTCACGGATCTAGAGCGGGCCGGGACCATAGTCAGCGGGGAGGGCACTGGCCTGGCACGCAGCTGTCCCCGGTTCGATCCCCGGCACCCCATAGGGTTCCCGAGTCCCACCAGGAGTGATCCCTGAGCACCAGTGGGTGTGGCCCCCCAAACCCCACCCAGAGTTCCTGGGGCCAGGGGCCAGCTCCAGCGGTCCAACATGCACCTTCCACATGTCAGCCTGCCCGGCACCTGGTCCCACACGTCCCCTCACTCAGCACCCCTCAAAGCCAAAAACAAAATTGTATCTTTTCCCCGACTCGTTCTACCACTGTAGGAGGTGAGTCATCCGGGGGTTCTGATCCCCATCACCCAGAGTGGCCACCCTGGAGGATGGGGGGGGGCAGCAGTTTCCAGAAAATTCGCTGGGCTACCTATGGGGAAGGAGACTCAATCCATTGACTGCTGGCCCCCAAGGGCTAGTTGTGATCAATGCAGGCTACACGACATCCGCGGGTTTGTGGGAGCCCTTCTCCCAACCCCGTCAGAAATACTTGTTCTAAGGCAGAGCTGCAGACCAATGGAACAGGGTTGAATATACTGACATCTCCGCCCAAACATATGATCATCTAATCTTTGACAAGGGAGCAAGAAATGTGAAGTGGAGCAAAGAAAGCCTCTTTAACAAAACTGTGCTGGCAAAACTGGATGGCTACATGCAAAAAAATGGGCTCAGATATCTGCCAAACACCATGTACAAAAGTAAGATCAAAATGGATTAAAGACCTCAACATCAGACCGGAATCCATAAGGTACATTGAAGACAAAGTTGGCAAAACCCTCCATGACATTGAAGCTAATGGTATCTTCAAAGATGTCACGCCACTGGACAAGCAAGTGAAAACAGAGATAGACAAATGGGACTACCTTAAACTAAGAAGCTTCTGCACCTCACAAGAAACTGACCAAAATACAAAAACTGTTTACAGAATGGGAAAGGATATTTGCCCAATACACATCCGACAAGGGGTTGATATCAAAGATATACAAAGTATTGGTTGAACTCCACAAGAAGAAAACATTCAACCCCATCAAAAAATGTGGCGACGAAATGAACAGAAACTTTCTCAAAGAAGAAATCCGAATGGCAAAAAAGGCACACGAGAAAATGCTCTACATCATTAATCATCAGGGAGATGCAGATCAAAACAACAATGAGATATCATCTCACACCACAGAGTCTGGCACACATCGAAAGAACAAGAACAACCAGTGCTGGTGAGCATGCGGGGAGAAAAGGATTCTCTTTCATTGTTGGTGGGAATGCCCAGTATGGTCGATTCTTAAAAACTTAGAATTGAGCTCCCATTTGACCCAGCAATACCACTCCTGGGAATATATCCCAGAGAGGCAAAAAAGTATAGTCGAAATGACATCTGAACCTGTTTGTTCATTGCAGCACTGTTTACAATAGCCAGAATCTGGAAAAAGCCTGAGTGCCCGAGAACAGATGACTGGTTAAAGAAACTTTGGTACATTTACACAATGGAGTACTATGTAGCTGTTAGAAAAGATGAAGTCATGAAATTTACATGCAAGTGGTACTACATGAAAAGTATCATGCTAAGCAAAGTGAGTCAGAAAGAGAGGGACAGACATAGAAAGATTGCATTCATCTGGCGAACATAAAGTAACAAAATAGGAGACTGACACCCAAGAATAGCGGAGATAAGTACCAGGAGGCTCACTCCATGGCTTGGAGGCCAGCCATACATGCTAGGGGAAAAGGCAGCTCAGATAGAGAAGGGAGCACCAAACAAAGGGTGTTGGGAGGATCCTCCCAGGATGGGAGATGCATGCTGAAAGCAGACTATGGACTGAACATGATTGCCACTCAATGCCTCTTTTGCAAACCACAACACCCAAAAGGAGAGAGAGAATAAAAGGGAGTGCCCTGCCACAGAGGCAGAGTGGAATGGGGGAATTGGGGGGTAGGAGGGATAATGGGATCAGTGGTGGTGGAAAATGGGCACTGGTGGAGGCATGGGTACCCAATCATTGTATAACTGAAACCCAAGCACAAAAATTTGTAAGTCTACAACTGTACCTCATGGTGTTTCACTAATAAAAATTTTTTTAAAATGCTTGTTCCAGGCCAGAGCGACAGCATAGTGGGAAGGACGTTTGCCCAACACATTGCCGACCTGGGTTTGATCCCTGGCACTGCACAGGGTCCCTCAAGCCCTGACAGGAGTAATCCCTGAGCACAGAGGCAGGAGTAAGCCCTGAGCACTGCTGAGTATGGCCCAAACCCACACAAGAAAGAAAAATTCTTTTTCACTGTGGGATTTTGAAATTCTGGCAGCCTCATCAAGCCTGCCCAGGAATCTGACTGTAAACCTCTTCATTTTCTGGGGCTGAAGCGATAGCACAGCGGGGAAGGCGTCTGCCCTGCATGCGGCCGACCGGAGTTTGATCCCTGGCATCCCATATGGTTCCCTGAGCACTGCCAGGAGTAATTCCTGAGTGCAGAGCCAGGAATAACCCCTAAGCATTGCCAGGTGTGGCCCCAATACCAAGAAAACCAACCAAACAAACAAACCCCCCAAAGCAGAACGTCTTCCTTTTCTTTCCCTCTATCATTCCACCTTCCATTTTTTGCCAACAGTCCCAAGATTGTTTGTAATCTGCATAAGCGGGGTCCTCGGGGAGGTCATTTTACCCCCAAATGCTCCCTCTAAGGATCTCCACAGCAGATGTGACCTGAATTCTGCTCACTGCCACCCTCCGCTGATGGGTTGGGATGAGGCCTTCTCCCCGAGCACTGACCCCTGGCCAGCGCTGACCCCGGCCAGCGCTCAGAGCCCGCCACGCTGAAACTCGAGCAGCTTAGACATAACATTCTGGGCTCTGTCCCGGCTGCCTGGCTGACTGTCGCTACTCATTAGCAGTCTCAGACGAGCCCAGGTGAGTTCCCACTAGCACTGAGGAAGGCTCTGCTGATGGGGGAGAGGCCTGTGATCCCCATCCTCCACTGCCTGACCCCTACCCGGGGAGCTTCAAACCAGAGTCTCGTGTGATTCTGTTGCATATGAAACCCGCTGGCCGCAGGCTGGAAATTCCTGTCCGGGAGAGATGCCTTCTGAGAATCTTTTTCTGGAACTGCTGGGTTTTCTGAGAATCCCACCGGGGCCGGGAGCCAGGCTCGGGGCGGTGAGGGATGTGGTGGATTGCCCAGGGCCCTAAGAGGCATGTGGCACCCAGGAGATGCCCAGGAGGGATGAGGGTGAGAATTTGGAGCTGGAGCGTAGTTGGCATCAGGACAATTGTAAGAGGTACTCTGGGGGGGGGTGTCTGAGTGTAAGGTGTGTGTGGCAACCCCTAGAGAGAGCTGCAGAATGGGGTATCCAGTGGTGGCTGGATGGCTCAGAAAGCAGAGCAGGAGGGGGGACACATCACGCAGGAGCCCGAGGATCCGAACCTAGCATCCCATGGTGCCCAGAGCACTGATGGGGTAGCCTCCTGCCAAAGCCCCCCACCCCTGAAAAACCAAGGAGGGGAGAATGCAGGCAAGTGAGGTGCTGCTAATTTTTCTTTTTCTTTTTTTTGGGGGGCTTTTTGGGTCACACCCGGCGATGCTCAGGGGTTACTCCTGGCTCTGCACTCAGGAATTATTCCTGGCAGTGCTGGGGGACCCTATGGAATGCTGGGAATCCAACACAGGTCAGCCACGTGCAAGGCAATTGCCCTTCCCGCTGTACTATCGCTTCAGCTTCGGGGCTGCTAATTCTTTTTTTGGGGGGGGGGTCACACCCAGCGATGCTTAGGGGTTACTCCTGGTTTTGCACTCAGGAATTACTCCTGGCGGTGCTCAGGGGATCATATGGGATGCTGGGAATCGAACCCGGGTCGGCCGTGTGCAAGGCAAATGCCCTACCCACTGTGCTATCACTCCAGCCCCAAGGGGCTGCTGATTCTTGTGGGTGGGCATCTGCTGTACGCTGACGGGTCCTCCCCCCAAACTCCCACCAGTCAACACCACCAGGCCACAGGGATGTGCTGAGCACTCAGTGTGGCTTCCGGGCTCTACTTTCCAGGCCTTGGGCTCCCCCTGACAAAGAGCTGCAGGACTGGGCGGAGTGGGGAATGCTGAACATCCTATCGGATGAACCCCCTTGTGGGGGTGTGGGAGAGAGACCCCTGGCTTCTCCCCCAGTCAACGGACAACGCCAATGTTCTATCTCGCGGGGCTTCCGTAACGCCTAAGATTCTCCCAAAGGCATCCCAGACCGACAGTGGCAGCGGAGGCAGGGATTGGTCTGTGGCTCTGAGCACTGGCCTTGTGAGCATTAGGTCCTGAGTTTGATCCCTGGCACCATCCCCCTGTCTGGACACGAGCCCAGCGGTTCCGTGGTCTGTGTTTCCTGGAACCACCAGCAAACCATGACTGGCCACAGCTGGGCAGCTCATGCCACAGCCAGAGTGTGGTCCCCGGTGAGCGTGTATGAGAATAGCACGGCTAAAGCAGGGGACCTGTGGGTGAGGTGAGCACTGTAGCCGGGCAGGACTGCCACCGGCCCTCCCAATCACAGTGACAACAAAGATGAGAGGAGGAGGATCCCCCAGGGGGCTGGAGCGATAGCACAGTGGGTAGGGTGTTTTGCCTTGCACATGGCCAATCCGGGTTCAATTCCCAGCATCCCATATGGTCCCCTGAGCCCCGCAAGGAGTGATCCCTGAGAGCAGAGCCAGGAGTCAGCCCTGAGCACCACTGGGTGTCACCCAAGTCCATAAAAAAAAAAAAAGTGAGCGAGTGTGTTGGCTGAGCCCATTCCCAGGAGGCCATGAGCTCCTTGTTCCTGCCTGCAGGTCCTGCTCAGCAGGGCTCTGGGGTCTTCACTCAGCCCCCACAAGTAGTGGGCAGGGAGGACCAGCGAGGTCCGCTGTTGTGTTGTTCCTCATAGAAGGTTCTGGGGAGCCCCAGCACGGGTGTGATGTGTGTGGAGCGCTCCGGAGGGCAGCCCAGGCTGCACTGCAAACCAGTGGCCCCCACCCCGACCCCTCACCCAGACCATGGAGCCTGGCCCCCCGCTGCCCCTCTCTCCAGAAGGAGCTAGATTCCTTACTCAGGCGGAGCTCAGGGGTTACTCCTGGCTCATGCACTCAGGAATCACATCGGGCGGGCTTTGGGGGCCTCTTTGGGGGTGCCGGGGATGGAATCCAGGTCGGCTGCATGCAAGGCTGGTGCCTTCCCTGTCAAACTCTGGCTGTTCTTGGCCCTAATTATACCTAATTATGATCTTTTTTTCTTTTTTAAAAATTTTTCTTTTTGGGTCACACCTGGCGATGCTCAGGGGTTACTCCAGACTCTGCACTCAGGAATTACTCCTGGTGGTGCTGGGGGACCATATGGGATTCTGGGAACCCAGTTTGGCTGCATGCAAGGCAAACGCCCTACCCGCTATGCTATCGCTCCAGCCCCACCCCACCCCTTTTTTTGCTTTTTGGGTCACCCAGCCAATGCTCAGGGGTTACTCCTGGCTCTGCACTCAGGAATCACTCCTGGTGGTGCTTGGAGGACCATATGGAGTGCTGGGAATCAAACCCGGATCGGCCACATGCAAGGCAAACACCCTACCCACTGTGCTATTGCTCCAGCCCCCAGCCCCATCCCCTTTTACTATCTTATTTCTTTTTCAGCATCCATCTCTCTGGGGTCACACATCTCTTTTTCTTCCCATGTGAACTTGGTCACGGTCATTCACCATCTGGATGCTGGGGAGAGAGGGGTGGCCGCAGGTACAAGGGGGTGTTGGAATGAGTGGGGAGAATGAAAAATGGAAGGCAGGGATGGGGTGAGAGATGGAAGTAGGGGTGAGGATACGGGGATTGGAAGAAGAGGTGGGATACAGATGGGAATAGGAGATGGTGGGAAAGGAAGCCGGGCTCTCCACAGGAGAGCACGCTGGGGGCTTCTGTCCCCTGCCCTTGTGGGGTGTCCCTGGGGAGCCTGCACATGTGCACCTTCCTCTTCAGAGCACTCTGGGGTCTCTGTGTGTCTGGACACGCCTGGTGAGACAGAGAAGCCCGTTCCATCTGTTGGAGGCTTGGGGAGTAGACGGCACCTTGGATGGGCTCCGCCTCCCTTGGTGACAGCACAGGGCGGTCCTGTGACCCCGAGAACCCTCCTGTCCATGTCAGGGACACTGACCCTCCCTGACCACCATGGTGCCAGCTCTTACCGCTCCGCAGATGTCCCCGAGAAAGACTACCAAGTGGTGTGAGAGAGGAGGGGAAACTTTAAACTCCTTAATTCCTTTCTCTCTCCCTCATTTGCCAGATGCATAGTCTCAGTCACAAGCTCTGTGTGATACAGGAGCCCCCAGTGTGTTCCGGCCTCAGAACAGTACTGTGCTGGGCTTTCACCCTGAGCATCCTTCCCTGGACTCAGCACCCCAGTTCTGGGAGGTATACAGCTGCTTCTAGAATGTTCAAGAATGTTCTAGAACGTTCCACAATGTTTTAGACTGTTCCATGGGACAGCAGGCACCCTCTTGAATGAGAGCACGCACTCGCCCTCTCCTGCCCATTCAAGTCTCCTGTAATTACCTGGTGGGCACAGGAAGGCCTAGAATCCCCATTAGCCATGCTGACCTACATGCCCAGCCATGCCCCAGCCAGAGGCTTCGCTGCCAAGCTCAGACCCCAGAACGACAAGGTGTTTTTCTGATACCAGGATCTGGTTGTCAGACACAGAGGAGGGACACAGCTATTAAGTCACCGCGTCCTCATGTGCCCATGAGGCAACTGTGTCCTGCCTCAAGGTCTTGACCGACACTGAGCGTCCAGACAGATGGAACAGTCACCAAAGCGACATGCTGCACAGACTGCCTCCTCCAGCGATGCAGTGACTTGTCCTCCTGCACCCGAGTCTACACACCCAGCCGAGCAGAAATAGGGATGGGCTCGAGTCCACCCCCCACCCCCCCGCAGCCGAAGCGGCTCCTCCCCACATCTGCACACCATTCCCAGCCGTGCCTGGGAGGATGAGGTATTCCGCGCCATCCCCGTCCGAGGTCTGGATCCTAGGAGCGGCCATTCCTGTCGTCGTTGCCGTGACAGGCACCGCACCCCGATCCAGATGTTCCGCAGACGGCCCCCGTCGGCCAATCCAGCCCCGTTACTTCACTCTTTCCACGTCCTCCCGTTCTGGGAACAGCCCACCTAGGCAGCAGGCCAGTGGTCGGAGGCTGGACGCCAGCTGGGTTGGACACCCTGTTCTGCTGCCTGCTGGCTGTGTGACCACGGACGAGGGGCTTAACCCCTCTGAACCTCAGCGTCCTCCACGAGAAATCTCACGCTCACACACTGGGTGGGGAGCCGGCTTAAACCACAGGAACTAGGAAGGCTGTGGGGAGCCTGGGCTCCTCCCCTGCTCTTCCCTCTGCTTGCAGAAAAGGTGTCCAGACAGCCTGGAGAAACAGCACTGACCGAGAGGCCGTGCCCAGGGCCCTCGCCCCCTGGCCCCAGGTGCCTGCTGAAAGGGTGAGCTGGGCAACTTAACCGGGGGCATGCACCTGTGTGCATGTGCATGAAGCACAAGTATTTTATTTTATTTTTTGCTTTTTTGGGGGGTCACACCTGGCGATGCATAGGGGTTTCTCCTGGCTCTGCACTCAGGAATTGCTCCTGGCAGTGCTCGGGGAACCATATGGGATGCTGGGAATAGAACCCGGGTTGGCCTCATGCAAGGCAAACATCCTACCCGCTGTACTATTGCTCCAGCCCTGAGGCACGAATATTGCTCAGAACTAGAGTGGGGTGCTCTGGGACCCTCCATACTGAGTTCCCTCCTCCAGGGCGCGTGTGTGGCCTGTGGTGGGGGTGGGAGGGGGGCGATGGGGGGGTACTCACGCAGGTGGTGTGCGTAGCGCAAATGGAATACATCACAGCCGTGCACGTGGTGGTAGAGGGTCTTCTCGATCAGGTCCTGTGGCTCGTACCCAGTGAGCTCGGTCACCCTAAGGGGGGAGGGGGCCCAGAGGCCGGGTGAGCAGCGTGTGCTCCAGCCTTGCCTTTAAACTAATATTAGTTTTGCTAACTAATCAAGTGCTAAAAGGCTGGGAGGGGGGAAGTGTTGATTTTGGAAAGGGAGAATGACCTTTTTTACAAGGAGAAAGTCTTTGAACTGCAGCCCCGGGCAGGATGTAGCCCTGTTCCGCTGCAGGAATGCTGGAATGTTCTTCAGAAACCACCGGGCAAGGACTAAATGGTTGGGAGGGCTGAAAATGTGTCCTTTGTCAAGGGGAAGCCATCCGAGGGTGCAAAAGACTGGTCTTGGGTTCTAATATTAGAAGAAAGCCGCCCCCTACTACCCAAGGGAAGAGACCCCACTTTATGGACTCTTGGTGGGCTGGCGGGAGGGGAAGGGGGAGAAGATAGCCGTGGGTTCATCTTTGTTACTGTGGCAAAGATGCATCCTGTAAATTGGCCCTTTATCGGGACTGATACTTTCACCATGCTATGTGACAAACACCTCCTCCACTTCCAGAACTTTCTCAACATCCTAAACTGAAATCATCCCTGTTGGACAGAGCGTCCCTATGCCCTGCCCCCTGGGAACCCTGGCTCTCTCCTTCCTGTCTCTGTGGATTTCTGCCTTCCGGTGCTGCCCGTGTGTGGAAGCAAGGGAAGATGGTGATGGCCCGTGAGGTCCACTTGCTTCCCATGCTCCCATCCCCCCTCCATCCCCCACCCCCATTTTAGAGTTCATCCCGTGGTTCCCTGCTTTCTCTTTTCTGTAAATGGCATCTTTCTGTCCGTCTCCTGAGGAGCACTGGCGTGTCTCCATGGCCCGAACCCCGTCTGCCCGAACCTCTGTGTCTCTGCTTGCCCCCCCCCCCCCTCATGCTAGGAATTGGCATAGCTGGTCTGAGGATGATGCTACAGACGGGGATTTTCTAAGGGTGGGAATTAGGGCATCCCCACAGATGTCTAACCACCCTCTCAGCGGAAGATTGTTTTAAACATCCCAAGAAACACCCCGACATATTCTGATGGAGACTCAATAAAATTGGGGGTTTTGTTGAGGCCATATGCTGTTGTGCTTGGGGCCGACTCCTGGTGGGGCTCGGGGGGCCATATGGGATGCTGGGACTGAACCTGGACTGGCCACCTTGCAAGACACATGCTCTCCCGCTATGCTATGGGGGAGATGAGGCTCCGTGGCCAGCTCACTATGGGAACAGAAGCAGGTCCCCATGGCCCAGAAGTTAGTCTCCCTCCTGGTTCCCTAGGTCTTCTTCTTCTTCCTTTTCCTTTTTTTTTTTTTTTTTTTTTTTTAGCTTTTTAGGTTACACCCAGCGATGCTCAGGGTTACTCCTGGCTCTGCACTCAGGAATTACTCCTGGCGGTGTTCAGGGGACCATATGGGATGCTGGGAATCGAACCCAGGTCAGCTGCGTGCAAGCCCTCCCCGCTGTGCTATCACTCCAGCCCAACTGGGTCTTCTAAGCCCTTATTTTTGTTCTGTAAGGAAAAGTGCTTCTCAGCATCCAAGACCCAGCCTGCCATTCTGACTGTTTATGACTGGGCGTCTTGTCTCCCAGGCTGGAGCCGGCGGGTGCCCAGCACAGAGGGGAAGGCGGGTCTGGGGAGCTCCCAGTCCTTGCAGTAGGTGGGTCCTGTTGGGCTCATTTCCAGGGTGTGCCTGCGGGTGGGAAGGGATGGGGTCCAGGTGGGTGGGAGGGTGCAGCGCAGAGCCCTCTGGGGCCCGTGGGACATGTCTGAGGCCCTCCCAGACCTCCAGGTCCTGCTTGAGTCTGATTTCCCCTGGCAGGGAACTCCAGATGTCTGGCTTCCCCCAGAAGAAAACCAGGCACCTCAGCCTGCAGGATGAAAGCGCCTCGGGCGTGTCAATGAATCAGAAACACATGGGGCCCGTTTCCCCGGGCGCACGGCAGGCTGGCCTGGAGAATGAAAGGGGCAGCTCTGGCAGGGCGCCGGGGGTCTTTCCAGACCTCCAGTGTCTGAAGACCCGTCAGAGGGCCGTGCCAAACCCCAAGCTTTGCCGGGCTCACCCATCCTTAGCTAAAGCACCAGCTATGGGTTCAAAGAGAAATAACCACAAAACCCCGGTGAACAGGATTTGGGGGGCAAGCTGAGTTCAGTCGTGTCTTGGGTCAGTGGGGCCACCCCCTACCTTTCGCCAGGCACCCCCCAGCCTGGCGCCAGGACCACCCTTCACCCGGAGCTTGGGCATAGAGACTGGCCCCCAGCCTCTCCTAGTCCCTCATGCTGCACCAGGGCCGGTGGGTGTCAGGATCCCCCACCTGAACCTTCTTTCCTGCGGGGTGGGAGTGAGCCACACCCAGTCATGCCCAGGGATGACTTCTGCAGTGCTCGGGGGACCCCATGGGCTACTGGGACTGGCATTCAGAATCCGTCTTTGCTCTAAGCTTCCAGTAGGGTCTTACAGGCTGACCGGAAGCCAAGGACAGCTGCCTTTCTGGTCCACTCACTTCAGGGGATGGGGGGCTATGGCCCTCCCCCTAAAGCAGGGGAAATTTGGGGTGCACACAGCCCACCTCCAGGGCTCCCCTCAAAGCAATCTGCCTCGGGGCCAGAGCAATAGTAGTACAGCGGGGAGGGCGCTTGCCTTGCTAGAGGCCAACCCTGATTCCATCCCTGGCATAGGGTCCCCGGAGCCCACCAGAGTGATTCCTGAGTGGAAAGCCAAGAGTATCCCTGAACACTGCTGTGTGCCCCCAAACCAAAAATGGCATCTGAGCCAGACTGCAGGCATTCCCGGTCTTTCAAAGTAGTGGGAGGCTGAACTCTGGAGAAGACCTCAAGTTTCTCCCCTGAGAAGGCCCCCCAACCCCCAGCAGGTCTCAGGCTGTGTGTTTGTGGGTACTCTAGGACCCCTCAAGGAAACATGGGGAGAAGCCTATCTGCTCCCCAACTTCCTTCAGGAATGAGCCTGCATGGGGTATGTGTGTGTGTGTGTGGGGGGGGGGGGGTAATCCAAAGCGTGCTCCGAGGGGAGCCTGATTCGGGAAGGACCGAGTTCCGACCACACCCCGAGGCTTCCCTTCGGGAGTCAAGCCCCTTGCTCACCTTCCCCTCCTTTCTCACGGGGGCTGCTTCCCGACCCCCAAAGCAAGGTTTGCCCTTTTCCGAGGCTAGGGGTGGTGACCACGGTGATTCTGCTCATTCCCTCCTAACTCAAGTCATTTGGGTCTCTCCTCCCAGTTATCGGGTAAGTTTGTTTTTCTCCAATAAAAGGGCAATATAAAAGGTAACATAAAATGATTGATTTTATGTTATGTGCCATTTGCCACAATAAAGTGAAAAATTTTTTTTCCTGGGGTTGCCGAGACAGCACAGCAGGGAGGCTCTTTTGCCTTGCATGTGGTCAACCTGGGTTCAATCCTCAGCACTCCATATGGTCCCCTGAGCCCTATCGGGAGTGATCCCCTAGCACAGAGCCTGGAGTAAGCGCTGAGTACCACTGGGTGTGTCCCCTAAGTTTAAAAACAATAATCCTCCGCCCTGCTCGGAGAGCCCGGCAAGCTACCTAGAGTATCTCGCCCGCACAGCAAAGCCTGGCAAGCTGCCCGTGACGTATTCGATATGCCAAACACAGTAACAAGTCTCACAATGTTACTGAGTGAAATCGATGAACAGTGACAGTGAAATAAATAAGTTAAAAACATCCATTTTACTGCACTCGTTTGTGGAATATAAAATAACATAATATGAGACTGACACCCAAGGATAGTAGACACAAGGGCCAGGAATATTGCCCCAAAGTTGGAAGCCTGCCTCATGAGCTGGGGGAGAAGGCAGCTGGGATAGAGAAGGGATCACTAAGTCAGTGATGGTTGGAGGGATAGCTCGGGATGGGAGATGTGTGCTGAAAGTAGATAAAGGACCAAACATGATAGCCTCTTAGTATCTATATTGCAAATCATAATGCCCCAAAGCAGAGAGAGTATGGGGGAAATTGTCTGTCATGGAGGCAGGGGGAAGGTTGGGATGGGGGGGAATACTGGGGACATTGGTGGTGGAGAATGTGCACTGGTGGAGGAATGGGTGTTCGATCGTTGTATGACTGAAATCCAAACATGAAAGCTTTGTAACTGTATCTCACAGTGATCCAATAAAACAAAAACCACCCATTTTTATAATAAGGTTCAAATTATGATCATTTCAGAGTGAACAAAAACCCCAATACAAGGGTGGGAGTGAGAGCATGGCAGGTAGGATGCTTGCCATGCACCTGGCTGGCCTGGGGGTGGTCCCCGGCATCCCCTGCAGACTCCCAAGCCTGCCAGGAGCCATCCCTGAGCGCAGAGCCAGGAGTGGGCCCTGAGCTGCCTCTGCCCAGCCTGGTTCTCAGTCCCATTCCACCCACTCGGCCATACCCCCACAGGGTCTCAGGATCCAGACACCCTGCAGAGGAGGTGACGCTGCGGTGACCTTCCGAGGGGTAACCAGCTCCTGCTCAGCTGCACAGCTAGCACAGGGCTGCATGTACATGTCTGGGCCTTCCAAGCTGCCCTGGTTTCCAGGGTGTCCGCCCTTCCCCACCCCCCGAGCCCTCAGTGAAGCTCTGGGCAGCCTCTGGCTTCCAGGAGGAGCCCGCAGGGACCCCCAGTCCAGCTCACCTGGAGTCCAGGAAGATGAGCTTCAGGTCCAGGCTGGCCCTGAACATGAACATGTTACTGTGCAGCTTGATCTCCGTGATGGCGCTGGGTGGCAGCGACTGGCCCACGGCCACCAGCCCCACAATCTGGTAGCAGGAGTCGTACAGGGACATGTCCAGCACGTACTGCCTGATCTTCAGGTAGCCGCTGCAGTGGATGACCTACAAACAGGGGTCAGTGCATCAGGACACCACACGGTGCCTCCCTGCCCGGGGGCCCCGCGCGCGTTTTCTCAGACTTGCTGGGATCTTCGACTGCCCGGCCTAGACAGTACACGCCCTGTCCCTTGCTTGGCAGAAGTGCAGCTGTGTTCTTTCTTTTGCTGTCTGTTTGGGGGCCACACCGGGTTGTGCTCTGGGCTGACTCCTGGCTCTGTGCTCAGGGCTGACTCCTGGCTCTGTGCTCAGGGATGACACCTGGCTCTGTGCTCAGGGCTGACTCCTGGCTCTGTGCTCAGGGCTGACTCCTGGCTCTGTGCTCAGGGCTGACTCCTGGCTCTGTGTTCAGGGCTGACTCCTGGCTCTGTGTTCAGGGCTCACTCCTGGCTCTGTGCTCAGAACTGATTCCTGACTCTGTGCTCAGGGATGACTCCTGGCTCTGTGTTCGGGGATGACTCCTGGCTCTGTGTTTAGGGCTGACTCCTGGCTCTATGCTCAGGACTGATTCCTGACTCTATGCTCAGGGCTGACTCCTGGCTCTGTGCTCAGGGCTGACTCTTGGCTCTGAGCTCAGGGCTGATTCCTGGCTCTGAGCTCAGGGATGACTCCTGGCTCTGTGCTCAGGGATGACTCCTGGCTCTGTGCTCAGGGCTGACTCCTGGTTCTGTGCTCAGGGCTGGCTTTTAGTGGGGCTCTGGAGATCATATATGGTACTGAGGATTGAATGCGGGCTGGCTCGGCTACTTGCAAGGCAAGTGCACTCCCCGCTGTACTATCGCTCCAGCTCCCCATGGTCTTTTTTCGGAAACAAACTCATAATCAAGTATAAATGGACAATAGAGGCTGGAGAGACCACTGCAGGGAACTTGAGTTCCAGCACCACAGGATGCCCTGAGCACTGCCAGGCATGATCCCTAAGCCAGGAGTAGTTCCTGAGCACCTCCATGTGCCCCCCTTGCGCGTGCACGCACACACACACACACACACACACACACAGAGAATGAACGGATACTTCATGAGCTCAATACCAAGTGCACCTGATGATCTGACCCATCATCGGGGAGCTGACCGTTTGTTCCCGGTCACTAACTTTAGTTAGTGGTGACCATGGGCACCACCTCCTCAGGGCCTGGAATTTCTTTGGGTATCTGTTAATTCGCCATTATATGACCTTTATTGGTGGTTGTTGTCCTTGACCCCTCTCCTCGGCAGTGGTGGGGGCTGCTCTGAGGCACTGGGGGGGACCCCACAGGGCCGCCTGTTTCACAGCTTGTGCCAACCCCTGGAACCATCTCTCTGGCTTGATTTTTATCTCACCTGACAGTCATGCCACTCCAGTAAGTTAAGAATTCTTTCCAGAGAGGTAGTAAATCTGAAAAAGCAATTGCCTTGCTCTTGGCCAACTCAAGTTCTATCCCGGCACCTCATACAGTGCTCCTAACAAGAGTGATCCTTGAGCACAGAGCCAGGAGTAAGCCTTGAGTATTGCCAGGTGTGGCCCAAACACACACACACACACACACACACACACACACACACACACACACGAGTTATTTCTGTAGGATAAAAAAATTGCCTTGTTTTAAATGAGCTTGGGGGTCAGAAGGGCAGGGATGGAACCCAGACACTTTTACAAGGAGGCCTGGGCTGCCCAATGAACTCCATTCCTAGTCTCGATGTACGTGATTTTAATTTCAATTATAACTAAGGTGTTATCACCTGGTGCTTCCTAGAAAATGCTTGTTACAGGGGCTGGAGCCTTAGCACAGTGGGTAGGGTGTCTGCCTGGCACACAGCAAACCCGGGTTTGATTCCCAGTATCCCGTAGGGTCCCCTGAGCACCATCAGGAGTGATCCCTGAGTGCAGAGCCAGGAATAAGCCCTGATCATCCTGGGTGTGACCCAAAGACCCCCCCCCTGCCCACCCCCCTGCAAAGAAAAGGGAAAGAAAAAAAATCTCTTATTGTAGTTGTGAGAACCGGGGAGAAAACTGCCGTTCCCAAGTGCAAAGAGAAACATTTATTTATGCAGACAAAAAAACTTGAAGAGCAGGAGGGTCACAGCCAAGAAAAGTCTGGTCCTAAGGGCAGGCCGTCAGCTGAGCTTGGATTCTAGCTCTCCAGCTCTTCCCCTGCACGGCTGAGGCGCACCTGAGTCCCTCCAATCAGCTCGGGGACAGGAAACCCAATGAAGTTTGTTTAGGGTGAAGAGACAGGGCGGGCCAGAGGTCAAGTGCCTGCCTCCATCCAGAGGAGCAGGGCCTGGAGCAATGGCACAGTGGGCAGGGCACTGGCCCTCAGGCAGCTGACCCAGGTTTGATCCTTGTTACCCCAGATGGTCCCCTGAGCCCTGCCAGGAGTCAGCCCCGAGCACACCCTGGCGTGGCCCCAAAACAACAACGAAGGAGCCAAGGAACCGAGTTGAGAGCCGGATCCTCTCCTGTGGCAGAAAGGGCCCCACCCTGCGTCTCCAAGGGAAGGTGTACAGGGGTCCTCCCTCTTGACCCATACAGGCAGATAAGAAAGGGGTCCCCCAGGGGGGCTGGAGTGATAGCCCAGCGGGTAGGGCATTTGCCTTGCAAGCGGCCAACCCGGGTTCAATTCCCAGCATCCCATATGGTCCCCTGAGCACCGTCAGGAGTAACTCCTGAGTGCAGAGCCAGGAGTAACCCCTGTGCATCACCCAGTGTGACCCAAAAAGCAAAAAAAAAAAAAAAAAAGAAGAAGAAGACGAAAAAAGAAAGAAAGAAAGGGGTCCCCAAACTGGAAAGCTGAGTGGCATGAAGTGAGAGAGCTCAGAGTGTGGTTTCCAGTACCGGGAAGGGGTGAGGGAGGAGAGGCTGGGGGCAGGATGGGGAGCCCTGAAGGGGGAGGGGAGTGGGAAGGTGGAGGCGGATGGAAAGGGGCAGAGAGGGAGGAGATGCGGGGGTAGGCAGCTGGGGACACGGAGGCAGACATGGAGCTGCCCTGCCCTCACCCTCTTCCCTGGGACCCCCAGAGTCACAGGCTCACCCTCTATGGGAGAAGATGCAGGATGGGTTCCCTTTGGGGGCGGGGGCGGGATCCCAAAGCAGGCCTGATGGGTGGAAGGGGGCTCATCTGGGACAGCCTGCAGCCTGCCCTTCCCCCACGCTGTCCTGTGAGGCAAGGGGTGGGGGGTGCCCTGCTCCCCAAATCCTAGGAGCTGGAGTCAGCAGGGGAAAAGCACCAACCAAATCCCTCCTGTCGCCGTCCTCTTTTCTGTTCCTGTCCTGGTATAAGGGAGGGTGATGAGGGACCCCTCGAGGGACCCTTCACAACAGCCTGGGCCAGTCCTGCTGAGCCGCAGACTTCCAATCACCCCAGATTTGGCCATCCTGCAGGTAAAGGCCACCTGTCTCCCCCAGAGCACTCACTGCTTCCTGCCTCCACCCCCCCCCCCACTTACTTCCTGGCCTGGAACGTGGGTCCTCAGGGAACTCAGACACCTGCCTGGGTGCAGTAAGACCACTCCCCTACTCTTGGTCCCACACAGTGAGTCCAGGGCCAGCCTGGGCCTCCTCTTGCAGAAGGGCACACACCTTATATCCGCTGCAGGTCAGACCCGCGTTCCTCTTGGCCAGCACGCACTTCATCCGCAGGAAGAAGGAGCGCTCCATCTCATACTCTGAAAGCAGAGAGGTTGGTCACACCACCGCCCTTGTCCCCCGCAGCCCCTTCCCCCCCTCCCCCCCGCTGTCCACGAGGTGGGAGAGCTGGCCAGGGCCCACGGTCCTGACCGCAAGAAGCTGCTGACACAGGAGCAGGCCCCAGACTGCTCCTTCACCCTGGAGGCTCTCATTCACTTTCCGGGGAGTGGCCAGGTGGGAACATAACCCCACCCCTGGCATCCTCACCAGCTGTACCCTGGGAAGAGCTTGTACTCTCTTCCAGAGACCCTTGGGGGGGGGGGTGAGTGGATGGAGCGATAGTACAGCAGGTAGGGCGTTTGCCTTGTGCCCAGTGAACCCGGGTTTGATCCTCAGCATCCCATATGGTCCCCTGAGCATCGCCAGGAGTAATTCCTGAGTGCAGAGACAGGAGTAACCTCTGAGCATCGCTGGCCAAAAAAAAAAAAAAGCAAAAAAAAAGCAAAACAAAACAGAAACCCTGTGGGCCCTTCTGTTTGGGGTGACCCCTCCCGAGGATCTCACAACTGTGCCCCACCTTACCACAGCAAAAACAGTTAATGCCCGTGAGGGGACCCTTCGTCTTTATTTTTATTTTTGTGTGTGGTGAGGGCTTAGGGGTCGCCCGGAAGTGCCCAGGGCTTACTCCTGCTCTATGCTCAGAGGCCACGCCTGATGGTGTTCAGGAGGGTTTCTGTGCGGTGCCAGGGACTGAGTCAGTACCAGATGCATCAAGGCAAGTGCCTCACCCCCTAGAAGGCATGTCGTACTGTCCCCCCACCTCCCACAAGGGCTGCTGGACAGCTGGGCCAGGGCTGACCTCAGGAGGACCCGAAGGACTGACAGAAGGAGAGCCCTGTCCCCAAGAAGGGCCAGCCTGCTGGTACCAGGGCACAAAACCTGTGGATTCCTGCTCTGAAAACCGTGTTTTATTTATCAATAAAAGTCACACAGCCATCAGTGGGGCCAACTGGAACAGAACCAGTTCTCTAACATTAAGTTGTTACCATCAGACACAGGTGGGCTGCCGCAGTGACAGTTAACAGCAAGACCAGGGCTGGAGTGAGAGCACAGAGGGGAAGGCCCTTGCCCTGCACGTGGCCAACCCAGGTTCCATCCCCAGCACCTGCTATGGTCCCCCAGGCCCCTGCAGGAGTGATCTGTCAGTGCTGCTGGTTGGTCAAAACAAAACAAAACAAAATAAAAAACAATCACAAGAACTCGGGTCGGCCATGTTGGCCGCTTGTAAGGCGAACGCCCTACCCGCTGTGCTATCGCTCCGACCCGAGTTCGATTCCTCCGCCCCTCTCGGAGAGCCCGGCAAGCTACCGAGAGTATTCGATATGCCAGACACAGTAACAACAAAGTCTCCAATGGAGACGTTACTGGGCCCGCTCGAGCAAATCGACGATCAACGGGAGGGCCTTTTCACAAGAACTCAGAACAGGAACCTCCAGCTTGTCTGACCCTCCCTCACTCTCCCTTCCCCTCCCCCTCACTGCACCCCTCCCCCCCAACAATACTTGGGGAGCCCGTGGGTGCCCTACTGATCCTCAGCCAACAAAGGTGACAGTTCAAGACAGGGGGCCCAGGATGCGGTGTCACTCAGACTTGCTGGTGTCGGGAACCACCCAGGGCTTGCCGGGCATGGGGGAGCCACAGCTCCAGGAGTGGGATCTGGTTCCTTGTGCACCCAGCCCTGGCCCTGGGAGCAGCCGTGTGATGCTTGCTTCAACTGCCCACAGGGAAACAAGGCAGGAGAGTCTCTGATTCCTGCTGTGGGCAAAGCCATCAGGCAGGTGACAGCAAGCTTAGTGTGTGCTGAAGCTTGATTCCAGCCCCAGCGACCCAATGTCCCTCCTCCCCGCCCCTGAGCCCACCCATGTCACCCAGCCCGGCAACTTCCGCTTAAGACGGAATGTTCCGTTTAGATGTCTGCAAACCTTAAAGCACCTTTCGGGAGAAGCCATGGTCTACACTGGATGAGGTTGCACAAGGAGGTCAGGTGTGTGTGCATGCGTGCATGTGTGCGTGCGTGCGTGCGTGCGTGTGTGTGTGTGTGTGTGTGCAGCAGGTGCAGGTGGGGGTATGGGAAAGAGGGGCTTGGGGTCTGGCCCCTGAGAGGAGGGAGCATGAGCAAATCCTCCCCGCCCCCGCCCCCACCCCCACCCCCCAGCCACACGGAAGCCCATTCAAGGCTCATCCTGGCGACTCTGCTCCAAGCAAATACCTTGGAGTAGGTGATGGTGCAGCGGCTGGTGGGCGGCCAGGACTGCCGTCATCTCGTCGTGGTCCGAAGGGTGGATGTACTCATAAATACTGTTGCCGGTCAGTTCCACCTGCAGCGCAGGAGAGGGTGAGGGTGAGAAAGACTCCAGGGGCGGCCCAGGAACCAAACCAAATGGAAGCCGACGCCTGAGCAGAGCACAGGGGCTTGGAGCTGGCCTTACTAGCATTCGGCTGGCATAGCCTTACTAGCATGGGCCCCAGGCTGCACCCCACCCCATGCTCCCTACCCGAAGCCGGCTGCTCTGCTGAGCTCCCCTGCCCTGTGGGTTTGGGTGCCCCACTGCCTGGTGTGTACCAGCACCAACATGACCCCAGGGAGCACCACAGTCAGAAAGTGGGAGCCCCCAGGGCATCGCAAAGGAAAAGATGGGCAGGGGGTGGGGAGATAATATTTTGATTCTTTGTAGCCAGGTAGTACAGCAAGTAAGGCACTTGTCTTGCATGCAACTGACCCAGATTCCATCTCCAGCATCCTCTAGGGTCCCCCAAGCACCGACAGGAGTAATTACTGAGCACAGAGTCAGGAGTAACTCCTGAGCATCATAGGAGATGAGTGAAAACGAAAATTAAAGAAAAATTTTATTTTTGTGTTTTTTAATTTTTTTGGTTTTGGAGCCAAACCTGGCAGTGTTCAGAGCTTATTGCTGGCTCTGCACTCAGGGATCATATGGGATGCCAAGGACTGAAACCCAGGTGGCCACCTGCAAGGCAAAAACCCTAGACTCTGTACTATAGCTATGGCCCTTCAAATAAAAATCTTTAAATTTTGGGGCTAGAGAGGTAGTAGAGTGGATAGGGTGCTTGCGGTGCATGTGACTAGGCCAGTTCCATCCCCTAGCATGCCCATGTGGTCCATAGAGCCTGCCAGGAGTGATCCCTGAGCACAGCCGATGTGTCCCAATAACAATAACAACTTTATCCCTAAGTTAGAATATGTCAGGGTGTATTCTGGGATCTTTAGGACAACCTTCCACTGAAGGGGGCTGGAGCGACAGTTCTGCAGGCAAGACACTTGCCTTGCATGTGGCCCACCCAGGTTTGATCCCTGCCATCTCACATGGTCCCTTGAGTGACGCCTGAGCATAGAGCCAGGAGTAAGCCCTGAGCACCACTGGGTGTGACCCCAAGCCCAAAACCAAACCAAAAAATATGAACCTTGCACTGAGAGGGCAGTTGAACTTCTCTGAGGACCCTGGGCAGCAGGACAGCAGCCTTGCTCGCTGCACCCCAATAAAGGCCCTTTCTCGAAGGCCCTGAGCCACACCCCTTGGCACTGTCTGGCATCTTGAAGAATCTGGGACACTTCCTGCATGAGTTTACCCTGTGTACCCCACCCTTGGGTGGGTCGGGGTGGCCCTATGACCTGGGTCCCCTCCAGTGAACCCTTTGACCTGGGATTGCTACCTTGACCTTCGGGCGCCACCCACGACCTCACCCAGGCAAGCCTCACCCAGGACATGGCCCCAGCCTAGACACAGGGTACAGCTGACCAGGAATGGGGCAAGGGAGTTCTGTGACTCCATTCCTAACCCCCGAGGTCTCCTCCAAACCCAGGAGCCAGGAGACAGGCATTCCCAATAACTGGACACTATCACCCACCTTACGATGCCAGAAGATAGAAGTTTCCAGAAACAATCAATATGAGGGTGGTCCTTTGGGCAGTGGTGGCTGATGCCTGCTTGAGAGTGCAGCCCTGGACAGTGGGGAGCACCCCTGGACCTGATCAGTGCCAGCACCACCTGGCCAACATGGGCAGAAAAGCCAGAGTGCGTGAGAACTTGCGGGGCTGGTTGGATGTGGGGGTTGGTAGGGGGAGAAGAACATTTCCTCAGGGGGCAGGGCTAGCTAGTAAGAGTAAAGGCAGGCCTGTAGAGCGCCTTGCCCACCCCTCCACTCTTTCTTTTTTTGTGGGTGTAGGGTTTGGGCAGACCCAGGGGTATGCATGGTTTACTCTTGGCTCTGTGCTCAGGGATCACTGGTGGTGCTCAAAGGACCACATGGGTTGCTGGGGATTGAATGGGGTTCTCCTATGTACAGCCCATCCAGCTCTCTCTCTCCTCTCTTTCTCTTTCCCTCTCTCTCTCTCTCTCTGATCTTAAAAAAGAAGAGCTTTAAGACCATTTTCTTTCATCAACCCAGTGCCTTTTTGTTTTGGCCACTAACAGAGGGCTGACTCCTGGCTTTGGGCTCAGGGGGTCACTCCCAGTGGGGATTAAGATGCCATGTGGGGTGCCAAGGACCAAACCCAGGTCAGCGGCGTTGCAAGGCAAGTAAGTACCCTGCTTCTGTCCTATCGCTCCAACTTTCAGTGAATTTTTTTTTTTTTTTTTTTTTTTTTTTTGCTTTTTGGATCACACCCGGCGATGCACAGGGGTTACTCCTGACTCTGCACTCAGGAATTACTCCTGGTGGTGCTTATGGGACCATATGGGATGCTGGGAATCGAACCCTGGTTGGCCGTGTGCAAGGCAAACGCCCTACCTGCTGTGCTATCTCTCCAGCCCTTCAATGATTTGTTTTAAAAATGTAAAGAACCAAAGGCTTGTAATTGGGTGGAGTAAGTCTGGCCTGCCTCCTGTGCCTTGCCCATGAAACCAGGGACAAGGGAATATTCCAGTTTCATGCAAGTTAATTTTTCCCTCAGGGGCCAGAGCGATAGCACAGCGGGTAAGGCGTTTGCCTTGCACGCAGCCGACCCGGGTTTGATCCCCGGCATCCCATATGGTCCCCCAAGCACCAGCAGGAGTAATTTGTGAGTGCAAAGCCAGGAGTAACCCCTGAGCATTGCTGGGTGTGACCCAAAAAAGAAAAATAAATAAATAAATTGGCTTCTTTAAGAAAAAAAAATTCCCTCAAAATCATCTTTTACAAAATGGATTGGTCTCTGGGTTAAAGGATTCCATTTGAGTGTCAGCCCAGAGTAGCTCGTTCTGTTCCCGAGTCATTGTCTTGTCATTAAGTCTAGAAGCCAGGCAGTGCAAAGGCCGTGAAGAACAAGACGTGATCTTTTGAACACGCCGGTCAAGCCTACACCCCCTCAATCCGGACCATCTAGGAAGTCAAACAATCTTCCAATAACGGAAATGTTTGCAAAAAGCAAATTCTGGAAAGATACAACAGTGCTTGACCTTGCCTCAGAATTACGGCTGACATGGTGTTTCCTGTATTTACAGATCTGTGCGTGCTTTCAAATGGGGAAAGTAATCCGACCACTCCCCCACCAAAAAAAAAAAAATTATGGTTGTCGCCATAAAACTCCCCAGGACTCATCCATCAACCTTATTAAAACAGACCCTCAGTGTGATATTGCAGTATATGTAAAACCCTGCGAACTACAAAATGAATTACTTTCCTACTAAAAGGGTTTTTTTTTCCTTTTTAAAAAAAATGTTTTACTGAATGGCTTTTCCTCTTGCCAAGAAAACTCCATATGATAAATACAGCCCTCAATGCCTCGATTCTGAGCCCGGAGGAGCCGCTCGTCCTGAGGGCTGAAATGCCCATTGTGTCTGCTTTGGTGTTTTGCTGACTATGGTGAATTAGGCATTTTAAAATAAGATGGTTTGGGTTTCAGGGTTCAAGTTATGTCAACAAACATAAAACGCTGTCCTTTCTCTGTGTTTCAAAAGTGAAAGGATTAAGTCTTGGGCCCCAACAATGCCATGGCTATTTGTACAGCCCCGTTTCCGGATACAGTCTCAAATATTATATTTTCCTTTATGTGTCTCATAAACAGCTATTTCCTCCCTATCTCCCCCCCTCCCCCAAATTCTTTTTTTGGGGGGGTGGGGTGGGGGAGGGAATTGAATATTGGTTACCTAGATGCAATTTAATGTATGCAGCTTTGGTTAGGAAATTGAAACCACAAGGATACTTAAAAATTCCTAGGGAGGCATATAGCAGGTATAGGCCACTTTTCTCCTTCAAATATAAGTTAATGAATCAACCTTAAAAACATGGACTGAAACCATTTTTAAAAGCTTGTGTGGAATAATAAAGTGCTTGCCCAACTCACAATGATTCCAAATTGATTTAAAAAAATTTGTCTCTGGAATAATTACGTATAGAGACATAGAACATATAGAATGTTCTAGAAGTACAACTATTTCCTCACAGAATTTAACACTGGGCGTTTGCGCTGAGAAAACCAGGTCCCGATCACTCTTATTCTGCCATTTCTGATTAAAAAAAAAACCTGGTAGCACCCATGACTATACCCACCAATAGAAAAGCAAAAATAAATGAAGAAAACCCATCCTTTGAAGTTGAGTCCTTACTTTGATACCTGTTAGATATCTTAAAAACGAACAAACAATAAAGGAGGTGGCTTTGAATTGAGGTGGCTTCACACTCATGGAAATAACATTTAGGTCTGAGGAGGTAGCTCAAGGACTGGGGTGCAAGGTTTGCGTGCAGGGGCGCTAAGTTCAGTTCACTGCCTGCTCCTCCAGTGCTCTTCTGGGATTGGCCCAAATAAATAACATGTATGCTGTCAATAGGTAATTCAGCTAGCCATGGAAATAGTCCAGACTGGAAAAGGAAACACCACTTTGCAGCACATAATCGAGCAAACCGAAGAACCTATATACCCTGGAAATTGCTCACACGGAGTTTAACACTGAATTAATGTGGAAGCTGCCTGACTGGCCAAGATAATGGCCCGAGAGTGACTGAAAGCACTTGGAAACCAGCACTCTGTCCATCTCAGCTACCACTTTGTCATGATTCATCAGCAAATCCCTTTACGAGATTAGTCTGCCATTGGGTAAAGTCGTGTTCACACTTCTCTCTGATGATTCAGAAGAACCTTAAGCTTATTTTAAGAAAATGTTCATGTTTGAGAATATTGGCCCGGCTTTTATTACTAATAAAAATAATCAAAAGGGTGCACCCCCCCGCCTATTAAATTCTTCTCTAAAAGGAGGAGTTGGATATTTGACATCGTATCCAATGCTTTATTTCATTATTTAAATGCAGAAGACAGAAAAGCAAATACACAGTGTGATTCTCCCTGGATTTCCCTGGAGGAGTTAATCGTGAACAGGAGGAAAATTTGAGGAGAAAGTTTGTTGTCACTTATTTTAACAGCTCACCGCCTGGCACTATCCACTTTCCAGTCTGCTTTGGTGGGATTTTGTAACTGAGGGGGAGAGAGTCCACCAGGGGATAGGGGTGTGGAGATCCATGACCCATCCTTCTAGGCAATTTGACTCATCCTTTATAAATGCCAGCAACCCGACTAAAGGTATGACTACAGATTGCTTGGGAAATGGCAGAGGAATTGCCGCCCTTTTGAACAGTGTAAGTGACGTTTTTATGCACACTGCAGTCAGGAGCAAATCTGCTTCTACCCATGCTTTGGCTCAAACTCCTTTCCTCCGCCTGACCCGTGAACACACTGTGTGAGTGCTACCTTGCCAACACTTTGGTCCTTCTTAATTATCGTCTTCAAAACAATCCATCATCGTGTTTCCCTGCATACAAAGAGAAAATGAGCCAAGAGAGGTGGAGCAGCCGGACAGGATGATCTGGAATGTTCTGGTATGTGCTTAGTGGCTAATGAAGCCAGGACACCCCAAGTGACTCAGACGGTCTGCTAGGTACCAACCAGAGAGCGCTCTCAGAAGCTGTTTTTAGGCCCTGTGCAACTCCCTATAGTTCAAAATTCACACAATGAACAACTTTATAACTGTGTATCTCATGGTGACACAATTTAAAAAAATTAAATTCACACAAAACAGACATTTCTAACATGCTTAACTTCAACCCTGAGAGAAAGCGGAGTAGAACAAACATGATTTTCTTAATTCAGTTACAGGCCAGGGAGGTTAAGGATCAGCGTTATCAATGCCAACCACAGAACTGAAGGGCTTTCCCTTTCGGCTTTGTGTGCTAGCTAGGGAGCTCAGATTTGAATGCACTGTTCGGTAACAGTGACCTCGCCTATTTTAAAATACCTTTGATGAGTCATTTTTAAAGTATGTGAAATGTACTGTGTGGTTTGGAACCTACCAGAGCAATCCCAAATTTTATAAATTGTAACTGAAAAAGTTAAGTGATCTGAGCAAGGTCAATCAGCTACAGATTAAGTCAAGGGCAGAAATCGGGCTGGACAGCTAAAGGGTCATCCATCATCCACATAGGGGCTGGAGGGATGGTACGGGCAGTAAGGTGCTCGCCTTGCACGGGCCAACCCGGGTTCAAGCTCTGGCACTGCACGTGATCCCCAGAGCACAGAGCGAGAAATAGCTGCTGAATACTGCGGGGTGTGGTCCAAACCACCCCATTCCCCCAGAAAAAGTCCCATACAGAACAAGGTTGGAATTCAGAGAAGACTAACCTTAGAGAATATTTTAAAAGTAAATTTTGGGTCTAGGGAGTTAGCTCAAAGGACTGGAGTACATGTCTGGCAAACATGAAACTCAGGGAATTTGATGACCTGTGTTATCTTGGTGGCCTCCAGCACAGCTGGGGAACCCTTGCCCATCCTCCCCCACTCCCCAAAACAGAAACAAACAAAAAATCAATTTCATGCTCCCAATCAAATTACATTCTACAAGTAGAACAGTCCTGTGAGCCAGCTACTGCCAGGCTGAATTTTATCCAGAGGGCCTGATTTCATCAGAGAAAAGAAGGCATTAGGGGATTTCCTCTAAGATTCCCTTGAAAGAACTCCACAATAAGAAATGTCGGGGCACCTTAGCCTATGTTGTCCTGGGTAAGGACAGATACACATGGGAAGAGAAGGTGGTAAACAAATATGAAGTTTCACACCATTTTGGCCAAAAAAAAAAATTACAGAGGCAGGGTGGGATGAGGGGATGGGGGGGGAGGGATACTGGGATTAGTGGTGGTGGAGAATGGGCACTGGTGGAGGGATGGGTACTGGATCATTGTATAATTGAAACCTAAGCACAAAAATTTTTAAGTCTACAACTGTACCTCATGGTGTTTCACTAATAAAAATTTTTTAAAAAATTAATAAATGGAAGGAAGATAGCAGATACGTTTTTCCAAATGTCCCCCTACCCCTATTTTTTTCTTAATTAGAAAAGCCATCTTCAGCACCATGTTTGAATCCCACTGAAGTACTGTGGGAGGTGGGTGCAACTCAGGGGTTTACACACACACACACACACACACACACACACCAGTGGGGGGGGGGAGGGGAGCATTTCCGCATTTCCTCTAATTCTAGTGTGTTGTGATAAAAAAAAATCAAGCACTTTAGTGCTTTACAAGAAACTTTTAGTCCTAAGATGTACGAAAAGTGGGACACTGAGAACCATGACCCATGCTAGCTAAATCCAAAATGTGAATGGCAGAATCACCAAGACTTCCCTAATCCAGAGCCCCCAACTCAGAAAGTAGCTAGGCCCCCTCCCTTCCTGGACCAGGTACACTTTCTTCCTCTCAGGAACGATCACCTCCTTAGAAGATAGTGCCAGGAAAAAATGGTACTATTAAAATTTCTAAAGAGGGTATGGAGAGATAATACAGCAGGTAGCGTGTTCGCCATGCACACAGTCGACCTGGATTCAATCCCTGGCACCTCATATGGTCTCCCAAGAACTGTCAAGACTGCTCCCTGAGCACAGAGCCAGGAGCAATTCCTGAGCACTGCTGGGTAGGACCCCCCAAAACAAACAACAACAGACAAACAAATAAACAAAATGTTCTAAAAAATACCCAAGGCTTGAAAGATGGTACAACAGGTCGGGTACTTGCCTTGCACGTGGCCAATCTGGGTTTGATCCCCAGCAACATATGTGGTCCCCTGAGTCCTGCCAGGTATGATCCCCAAGCACAGAGCCTGGAATAAGCCCTGAGACATTTGTGCCCCCAACAAACAAACAACACCCCCTCCAAAAGAAAACAAACAAAAAAATAAAAATACCCAGAATTTTGCTTTTTGAAACAGTAGTAAGTAGAATTTTATGAGTTTCTATCACAAGCATATAAAATGCTTTACTGAAAGGACCGCTGAAGTGGAAAAACTCAGGAAAAATTACCCTGCATTCCATGGGGACACTCATAAATCTACACCCCCTGCCTTTCTCTCCCTGCCCCCGCATGTTCTGCAGAAAACCTGTGTTCTGTGTCAATTTTTCCCCTCTTCCCTCTCTCTTTTTCTCCTCTCTCTCTCTCTCTCTCTGTGTGAGACACACACACACACACACACACACACACACACACCACATGCACACACAGGGCAACTCACGTACCACATGCAGGCCTCCAACCATGGGTTGAAAAGTCTTTTATTATTCATTTTTTATCTGGTGATGCCCACTGGTTGTAGGCAGAGAACTTGTCTGGGTAAGTCCACAACATAGGACAGAAGAACTGGGCAAAAGTTAAAAAAGGAAAGAAAAAAAGAAGAAGAAGAAAACAGGGAAAAAAATAAAATAAAACCACTACCAATCCTTTGGGGATTAAGAGTTGCCATTTGGGGTCACGTTCACACACCAACACGAACATAGGAACAGACTGTTTGAAGTAAGGCTGTCACGATCTTTATATTGGGTTTATTTGCACTATCAGGCAACTTACCTGGGACAAGCCTAAATGGACAGACGCTGTTTCTGATATGTACATGATTTTGCCATCGGATGCGACCACGAAAACAAACCCGTCCAAAGTCTGTACAAGAACAAAACGACAGGGTGAGAGTCCAGCATGACTAAGGACAGTGCCCACTGCTTCAGTGGTGGTGGTGGGGGGAGGGCACGTTAGTGTCATCATCAAGACATTTTTGAATGTGTTGATTCAAAAGAACGGTGAATAGCAGTCAAGTTTTCATTCATGGGGACAGGATCTCAAATGCCTTTTTAAAGCCCTTTAAAAACAGTCTTACATCCACATTGCAAAAGTCAGGCAAAACATTTAAGAATTCCTATCGTGCTCAATTTAAATGTAGTAGTTTTATTGTTTGGGGTTATTTCAGCACTTAGCACAAATCCGGAGTTCTATGGTACTTAGGGGGGAAATTTACCACTATATAGACCATTTTATGTCATAATTGGCAGTCGTTTATACCACGAGGACATATACTTTATTTGCCACAATTTTCTAGTTACTCCTAAGTACCATTTGAATAATGAATTCCAAACATTGCCACTCCCCAGAAAATAAAACAAAACCCCCGGTGATTTTAACAGAGTATGTCTACAGAATTGCTTCAAATTTGCCAGAGATCAAATATCCTTTCAAAATTCAAGGAGAAAAAGTATCAATTTCTGAAAAATTAAAACTACCTCCACTTAAGTTAGCTAGCTTTCAAAAAAAAGACCAAGTGAAATTATAAGCAAAAATTAAGACAAATTAAAAAAGCGATGACTATGTTTATGTGTGAAAAGGATAAAAAGGCTTATTTTTTTTTTTGAAAAGGAAACTTATCGTTATCCTTTCATATTTTAGATCCAGAACCAAAGAAAGGCAATAAAGTTGGGTAAAGAGCTGAACAACCCACAATGGTACCCCCATAAAAAATATTCCAAATTAATTTCTGGCCACAAATTCTATTTTTACAGCATGTAATTGAAACCAGATTACCTTTGGGCTTTGGAAATCCTCCCCCTCTTTGGAGGGCCCGAAAAGAATGCCATAGAAGTAAAATTCTTCTAAAAAAGATAACCTTACCGTCTGCTGTCTCAAACACAGTTCGGGTGCAAAATTCCTCTGCCAGTATTCTTTTCTTTCCCCCATCAGAGGCTGAAGTCAACCTCTTAATTCTGAGCATGCCATTGACCTTTCTTTCTAACTCAGCTACAAACTATTTCTCCACCTCGACCTTCTCCTCTCAAAACTCAACACTCTGGCAATTTCCAAAGTGATCCGTGTTTTGTGCCCATATTTCCATTCTTGCTTAGCTCCAAAAGCATTCAAAAGATGCATTAACTGAAAGTCTGTCTGAGAGCCATCGGGTGTAAAGGAGAGAAAACAATAATGATTAAATGATAAAAGTTGCCCGCCTGAAAGGGGCAGTTCTCATGGAACACGCTAGGCTTCTCTTCCTAGTTCCCGATCCCCTAATTCGGAGCTCTGAAATGAAAGAGCCGTACCGAGGAGAAACCCAGAGATTCTAACTTTGCCTGCCAGGTTTTCACTAGCATTCCCCAGCATGTAGCTGCCTTTGCTGTATTAGTGTCACTTCTGCACAGGAGAAAGAAACACGCAAAACCCTGCTCAGCTCCCAGGGCTGGAAGTGAGCTTGGGGGTTGCCAGGGGTGAGCGCCAAGAGCGGTGAACCCCACTCAGTTTCCTTCAGGTTGTAAAACGTGCAAACCATCCCTCCTGTCCCCTTCCCCAGCACATGCGTTTTAAAAATTAAACACATCCTCCCAGGGCATGTGGGATCCATACAAAACCAAACCAGTTTGGTACAGGGGAGGGGGGGGGGTTCTGTTTGACTCGCCCAAGTCACTTTGTCCCCAGACCAATTTTCTTTTTAACATTTTAAAGAAAAGGCCAAATTGCAGGAGGAAATGCAAACTAGCTCCCTCGCACTTTCCCGTGGCAGAGACAAATGACTGACGGGAGGCGGAGAATGAATCAGGTCCTTGAGACGGCTATGTGAAGGGCATTGAAGATTCCCAGACCCCAGGTATTGCTGCCGCCAACCTGCCAGCCTTAGGGAGCAGCCTGGGGTGCGCCTAGGGTGCGCTTGGTGATCCAGTCCACCCGCAAACCCAGCAGGGAAGTCCGACGGCAGAGGCAGGTTAGCAAATTGGGCTGTGGGGGGCTAAGTGGCTAGCCATTAACCAAGTCACCCTCCTCCATGCGTGAGACAGGTGACCCCAGAGCTCTCCAAACCATAAGCTCAATCACTTAAGAGCCGGGGACCACGTGGGTGGAACTCAGCTTCCCTATTTGCTACGCTGCCTCAAGCACGTTACTTGGTCTCCCTGTGTTCTAGGATTTAGACCAGAATCTGACCTGAACTCTCAACTAACACCTCACTGCCTTCCTTGATGGCAAACCGCCACTCCCCCCCCCAAAAAAAAAAAGCACATGCAAATCTCCTAGCCCAGTACACTGCAGCTCCAGCCCATAAAAGCTCACGGAAGGAAGGCAGGCTGGAAAACACATAAGGTGGCCAGGGGCCCCTGGAGTCTAGGGTGGGTTGGGGGGACCTGGTTGCAACCTGCCTTGAATCTGCCTCCTGGGGAAGAACATCTGGGCACCCTGCGCCCTCCCGTTTCCAAGCCCCGCCAATGCCCACGCTACCTGCAGCAAATGCGATCCCAGCTCTTTGGCCACGTTGTCCAGGGGCCCGGCGCGGCTCGGCTGTCCCCACGCGTCTCCTAAACCTGGATGGGAAATGAGGCCAATCAGTGAGGGCATCGTGAAAGACGCACGCGAGTTTAGCGGGCCGGCGCCCCCAGCCGCGCGCAGCTCCCCCGACCCTGCACCCTTCCCGTCCCCTCTCCCGCCCCAGAGTAAAACCCAAAAGGGTGGAGGGCGGTTCCCACGACGCCCCTCTCCCCCACCCCCAAGAGCCTGGCTCTGAACTGACAGCCATCCCTGAGATGCCACAGAGGAACGTGATCTGCCTCCAAAGCCAAAGGGACTGATACCTAAACGGACCCCAGCACACCCGCTCCCTCTGCACATTGCCGCAGTCCCAGCCCTCGGCTCCGTGCGAGGCGGCTTTTCCAGCACTTGAAATACAAAAGCCGTTTTTTTCAACTAATTCCTCGGATGCCCCAGCCCTCCAAAGGGGCTCAAGAGCACAGCAACCCAAGATCGTCCTCCTGGAAAGGGACCTCCGCCCGCCCGGCGACACAAGGACGCGCTCCAGGGACGAGGAAACTGCGGTCCTATCAAAGGGTGCCCCCCGCCAAAGAGCCCCCAGCAGGTCCTCTCTCCACCCGCCCCCCCCAACTTACCCCAGAACAACGGGCGCTGCGGGGGCGGAGAGCGCGCGCCCAGCCCTGCCGAGACCCTCAATGCGCCCCGGTCGGACGGCTCCGGGGCGCGCGCCAGCCTGGGCAGCCTTGCGGCTCCCCCTAAGGTGGGTCGGCTGAGGGCTCACCACGCAGACCCGCTGGGGAGCCCTACCAGGCCGTTGCCGGAGATCTGAACCTGCGCCGCCTTTTCCTGCCCTCGCTCCGCTCCGTGCGCTCCTGCCGAGGGACCCGGGCTCAGCGACCATCCCGGGATCGCAGAGCCAGTCCGAACAGCGGGGTCAGTCGATGCGCTGCCCGGGACCCCTGGCTCTCCCCATTGTCCCTGCGGGGCACCCCGGACCCTGAAGCCGAGAAAGTCCCCCCTAGCATGAGAGCTGCCCGGTACTCCTGCTGCGGCAAATGTTCCGGAGACGCTTCTAGACACTCTATTTGACAGCTAATAAAGGGCGGATAACCTTTAATTTCTCCCCGGCTCAAGAACTACGGGGTTGATATTGATCCCCCCCCAAAGAAAGGACTCATTTCTACGTTAACCAGGTCCCCAAATTTCATGACTCAGATTCAGGTGTCCTGAACCCAAGGACGTACCAAGCCCATGGCTCCCTTCTGCTCCCCTCCACACCAGGCACTTCCCCTCCCCTGGCACCCACCTTCACCACCTTTCACCAGACTAGGGAAGAGCCACCTTGGCAAGTCACCGCCAACCCAGGCTGGGCACTCAGAGATCCTGTTCCAGCCCCTGCCCTGCATGAACCCCCAGCACAGCCAGGAGTGACCCCCTCAGCTCTGAAAAGGTGCTTTTGTCTGAGCATCAAGCACCATCCAGCATAGTCCCAAACAACAACAACAAAAATTTATAGAGAGGAAGAAAGAAAGAAAGAAAGAAAGAAAGAAAGAAAGAGAGAGAGGAGAAAGAAAAAGAGAAGGAGAAAGAGAGAAAGAAAGAAAGAAAGAAAGAAAGAAAGGGAAGAAAGAAAAGCTGCTGGAGTTTGAACGAAGAAGAAAGAACAAGAAACCAGAAATTCTGAAGATGCAAAGTCACGGAGGTGCTCAGGGGCTGATCTCTGCCGTCAGGACACCCTGACTCGACCCTACCACGTGACCTAGTTTGGTGGAAAGTGGCACAAAGGGGTGCCCTCCCCCCCACGGGGAATCTGGGGATTGCTAACCGATGAGGAACGACCTCAGAGCCACACTCCTCTGCCCGCCCGGTTTGCCCCAAAGTCTTGGCCGAAGGCTCTGGAGTCACATGCAAAAGTGCCTTGCCTGGGTTCACCGCACTTTCCCCTGGAATTTGAACCCCCTGATCCTTCAGGAGCACCTTTGCCCATTTCATTAGCACCCCCTTCCCCCAACGCCTCTCCTCGTGCTGGCCTTGCTGGAGAATTAATCCCAGAGCCCCTGGGGACCATCTGCAGGTGGCATCCCTGCCCCCACTCCGCAGTGCCTGCTTTGGGGGCTGCCAACTCTTCCATTAGAAGCCACGTGGATAAAGCCTCTGCATTCCGCCTTGGACAACTCCTTTGGATGGAACAGAGGGACTCGGGCTCTGTGGGGTGATGGGTATCAAGTGCACTCCCCTGGGAAAAGAAGGCGCTGAGCATGTGGTCTTGTCTGCACCACCGCCAGGGTTCGGGAAATGAGGAGTGAGGGTGCTCGAGTACCTGGTGTGGTGGTGGTGGTGGTGGTGGTGGTGGGGAGATCAAACTGGGGTCAGCCTCCTCCAAGAGAGACTTCAGGAGCTCTGCACCACCTTTCTGACCCGTGGAGGGTCTTCAGGAAAGTCAAGGGCTTTAGGATGGAACCTTAGTCCCGCTGCTGCTGTGCCGGTGGCAACGTGACACCCCAGGCTTGGGCATCCCTGCAGAGTCTCAATCCTCTTGCCTTCCATGTCCCCCACATTAAAGTATGAGCGTTAGAGCGGGATAGCCGATCTCCCACAAGACCCCCGCCTCTTTGGTGTCTCCCCTTTAAAACAGGGATATTGGGGGAATCAATGAGTGAAATGCACTCGTGTTGCGCCCACAGCGGGGTACGGGGAAGCTTGGGGCTCAGCTGCAGGCCACCAGGTGCAGCTTTCTCCAGCCCTCTCCTTGCCTCGCCCTTCCTGCCCCAACCCTCCCCAAGGGATCTTGACCTCTCACCCTGGGGAGCCATCCAAGGGGCTGATTGGCCACTCCAGAGTCAATGGGTGGATGGGGGGAGGGAGGGATAGATCAAGAGCATTGGCCCTCCCGGACTGAGCAGCCTCCCCCTCCTCCAGAACCTGGAGGAATCCCAGCCGGACAAGAGGATGGGTCCCGGACAGGCCCCCCTCCCTCTCCCCCCCACCCCGCATTGGAGCTTGGGGGGCAGCGATGGGAGGGGGTCTGTGGCAGAGTCTCGACTCTCACTGGCTCCAGAGGCACGGATAAGCCTCGAATGAGCCTGAGCCTCAGATTTGTGACTTAACAACCCTGTTCTGGGGTTCCTCCGCACTCTTTGTCCTTCTCTGACCTTGAAACTCTCAGAGGGGGCCACTGGAGGGGCTGGGGACGCGTGGGGGGGGGGGAGGGAAGCCGGGAGCTGCAGAGACTCCACCACTAAAGAAAGGGAGTAGAGCTGGACCAAGGACTGAGTTAAAACAGAAAGAACCGCTCCCAGCCTCCCTCCCTCACAAGCCTCCCTCTTGCCCCCCCCCCTTTTCCAATCCATAAGTACCCAGACACCAAGGATGGAGGGTGTGAAGGCGTGATAGGGACACCCCGAGAGGGTTCAGCTTGGCCCGGACAAGGAGGCAGCGCTGAGGGCGTCCAGCCTGACAGTGGAGCCCCCCCATCTTTATAAGTGCTAGAACTTTAGATGTTGCTGGGACCCCCTGACATCTAATGCTTGGGCCTCCAACCTGCAAGGCCTGCCCACCAAGCACTCAGCACCAGCCTTTGGGAGTGCAGGGGCCCCTTCAGTACCTCCCTCCAACCTCCTGACTGTAGGACGCCAGCGGTCCCTTTCCGCTCCCTCCCTAAGTCTCCCGCAGACTGACGGGGTGGGGGGGGAGGGGCTAGGTAGAAGGGGCATAAAAATCCACATCACCTGAAACAAAAAAGTCTAATTAAAAACCAAAGCTCGTGTTATTTCTGGCTGCAGGTGCGATAAAGACTCTGAACCCAGGTCAGTTTGGGGCCGACCAGTTGCCTACCCCAAAGTCTCCAAATCAGAAATTGCCAAACTTATCCCCAACAGCAGGAAAACAAACCAACAGCCACCATTCACGCTCCCTACAAATCTACCTGCTGTGGGCAGCAGAAAGTGACCCCCCATCATTCCAGTGATCCCCAAAGGGACAGAATGGGGGAAAATGAACAAGCCAAAGCACTTAGAATCCGGGCAGGCTCCATGCACCCCTCTGAGACATGTGCATCTGGGTGGCAGGGCCTATACGGATCTAACTCCCTGCTACACCCCTCATAGGAAAAACACACCAGGCCCTTATTTTCACGTGTGCCCCCCCCCCACTTACCCAGTTACTCCCAGGCAAAAGATTCCCCCAAGTGGGAGCTCTGCTCACTCGGAGTCAGCATCCCACACCCTGCTCTGTCGGACCGACCCTCCTAGCTGGCTACAGAATGCCTGGGACACCCCAAGGATTCTGCAGTTTCTACTATAGATGCCCTCCCTAGTGAAGGTGGCAGGGAAGCCCCCACTTGCCCTCGACCCTGTTGCTGCGTGGGGCACTGGAGAACGCATAAACTTTCCACTTCCACTTCCAAAGCCAGCCTCTCTTCCCAGCTCTTTCGTCTTCTCCCTCTTCCGAACTCCCTGTTAGAACAGCAGAGAAAACCAGTCCAGGATGGGACTCCACGGGGCGTGCACGGACCTAGGCTTTGGCTGGAGATCCGGGTATCATTTAAAAAAAAACTGTGGTTGTTAAGTATAAAAAGGGAACCCCCAAACAGTAAATCCCACAAGCCGGGCAGGCGAGTGGGGCACCCTGTGAGAGGCCAGGAATGAACGGGGCACTCACACAGGAAGGGGTGAATGAAGTCCTTACTGGGCTTCCTGTTGGCACCACTAGCTAGCATTCCAGGCTCCACAGATGGGGACCCCACAGGGGAGGGTGCAGCACCACCCCCCCAGTCTGAGAGACTAGCCTAGTCAAGGTGTGGTCACTCCTGCAAAGGCTACCAGGGACCTCTCCACACAGGCACCCACCCTTTGCCCCTGATGCGGTATCCTGGGGAGGAGTCCGTTCCTTCTGGCCTCAATGTCCTACGATAAAGGGAGTCCCTGCAGCCCTGGAGGTCTGGGGTTCCTTTTCTTGTTCTCCCAAACCCAAAGGGAATCTTCGAGAGCCTTCTTAGGAATCCAGAGTGGGTTTTGCTCAGATCTTCCCCTTCTGGGAACTCCCTGGGTTCTCCCGTGGGGTGGTCTCTGCCAGCAGCCTCCCCCTACCCCCACCATCCAGATTCCACTGCACATCCTCCGTGAGCTCAAGTCAGCCCCCCCCCAAAATAGAGGAGGGCAGTGAGGCCACACCCCAGCTTTCCCAGCACTACTAGCCCGTAGCTGGGGGGAACTGAGTTATCTCTAAATCTCTCTCTCTTCACTGGACTCATAGCTCTAGTCACCCACACTGGCCCCCAAGATTTGAGGGGATCAACATGGCTACAACCGTTAGCTCAGGACGGGCATACATCTGGGGGCATCGGTCCCCATGACTCACTTCCCCAGCACTCACAACACCCTCTCCACTCTCTGCAGCAACCTGGGGACCAACTCACCATCTCCTGAGTCTCTGGGTTTTGGAGGAGCCATATCCCAACCTCTAAGGCCAAACAGTCCCCTTCCCACTCTTCCCTGAGTCCCCCTGCCTTAGGACATGCACAGGCCCCCCTCAACCAGGCTACAAACCCAACAGGGTGCCCCATCAGGATTACCCCCAAACCAGCTCAGGACCAAGTGATGCTGAGCCTGTCACAGTGACTTCATTCCCAGGGCCAGAACCCAGTTGAAACACCCGAAAGAACCGCAGAAACCCTGAGCCCACCATTCCTCAACTTTTAGTCACTTTTCCTTGTCACGTCTCCTAGAAAGGACCTTTTCCTCGGGGGTTTTCCATTCGAACTAACTGCTATCTTATTTGAATCCGGGGGAGAAGTCGTTCACTCTCCTAGGCAGGTTTTGCTCTTTTGTTCTTGCCGACCAGCAGGGCCTGGGAGGGCAGGAAAGGAGCTGGAGTCCCGGCGGATCCCGGATCCCGCACCCGCTTTGTACCATGCGGACCGGATGGAGAGGGAGCTCAGCGGGGCAAACCAGCCGGGGAAACAAAGCCACCGCCTCTGTGTCTCCGAGGGCCGGCCGGGGTCCCTCTTTAAGGCAGGGAGGGGGTCGCCACTGCGTGTCTGGCAAGAGTCTGGAGCGGAAGGCTTCTCGGCTGACCCGGGTAAGAAAGGAAAAGAAAGAACCGTGAACCCGCTGCAGCTGCCAAGACACAGGCTGGCAATGCCAGGGCGATACTCTGTGCACAGTAGCAGGGGCCTGTCTGGCTGGGAGGCACAGAGCCGGCGACTGCTTCCAGCTCTCCAGCTCGGGCTCGGAGAACAGTCCCGGGCAGGCCATGCTGCAGGAGCCACGGGGCCAGCTGGCGGCCTGACCCTCCGTGCTCTACCCGGGAGGCGGTCCGAAGTGCAGCTCCAGCCCAAGATGACCAGAAGTGGCTTCGCAGCATGCAGGAAGTCAGGGCGAGTGTACGTGCTTCTGCGGGCGGGCGTGGGGGCTGCCTTCTTAGAGGCACCCGCTAATAAGGGGCACCTGTTCCCTGTTCTCTGGCCACCCGAAGTCCCCCCACTCCCACCCCCAGAGGTGGTCTCCTATGGGTGCTGGCTTCCAGGGTGCACATAGCTCGAGAGGTTTCTCCACCCATAGGTCTTGAGGGGGGCACCCATCAGACCCCATCAGAACAATGTCTTGACCAAGTGACAGAATGTCTCCTGCCCAGCCGGCCAACCTGGAAGGTGAAGTTTTCGAAACATCGGGGACACTCTAACAATCTCTGGGGTGACGGGTATGTCCCTTGACCAGAGAGGCCGGACCTGGCTGCAGGCTCACCCACAAACCCAACAAGCCAGTATTCATCACTTCTTAAATGCCCTGAATTGGGGGGGAGCGGGGGCTGGCTTTAGAGACTCTGGTTCCTAGCATGGCACCTGCCCCTCAGGGCCCGTGGTTCCAACCCAGAGCCACAGACCCCGGCCTGCCTACCCTTTTCCAGCCCCGATTTTAGATGGGTCTCTCTTGAACCCCGAACTCTGCACTCTATCCCCATGGGAGGGGGGGCAAACCAGAAAGAGAACCCTGAGAACCCCAGTGGGAGCTGCCACCCTCTGCCCCCACCAGGTGCCCAGCAGGACCAGAGTAAAAGTCTTTCTAACCTGCGGGGCCCCAGGAGCAAGCGCTCCTCCAGAAAGAGGGCTCAGAGGGGGAGGAAGAGAGAAAGGAGGAACGAAAGAAAAAGGAAGGGTAAGGGAAGGAGGGAGGGCAGAGACAAGGAGGGGAAGAATGAAAAGGAAGCAATGAAAAAGAGAAGGTAAGGAGCGAGAGGGGGCAAGAAAGGAAAAGAAAGGGAGATGGGAGAGAGAAGGAAAGAAGGAAAGGAAAGAGAAAGAAAGAGAGAGAGAAAGAAAGAAAGAAAGAAAGAAAGAAAGAAAGAAAGAGAGAGAGAGAAAGAGAAAGAAGAGAGAGAAAGAGAAAAGGGAAGAGAGAGCGCGGAGCACGGATTAACATAGAACAATTCTTGGTCCGAGGGTCCCGTCCGGAGACCCTGCCTCTAGAGCACGAGCCGAAGACCCCGGCGCGGCCTCCCGGACACTGCGGCCGGCGGGAGGCTGAGCGGCCCCTCGGAGCGAGCTCCAGCCCGGCGTCCCCGGGGTGCCCAGGCCTCGGGCCGCGCCGCGGCCGCCGCTCACCTTCGGGGAACACGGCGCGCATCTTCAGGTAGCTGGTGGTGAGCCGGATGATGGACGCCTTGTCCAGCTGCGAGGTGATGGCAGAGGGCAGCGGGAGCAGCTTGGCCAGCTCGTAGAACTCGCCATTTTCCTTCTCCCTCCTGGTCTTGGCCGCATTCTTGGACTTCTCCTTCATCGCGCCTCGGGGCCGGGCATATTAGACCCGGCGGCGCTCGGCGAGCGGCCGAGGTGGGGACAGGGGGCGCCGGGCGGCGCGCGGGCAGGTGGGCGCCGGGACGCCTGTCCCGGCTCTCGGCGCGCTCGGCCCGGGCCGCAGCCCTCTGGACTCGGGGCCGCCGCGCTCGGGTCCCCGTCGGGCTCTCCCCGCTCCCGCCGCGCGCCCCGATCTCCCCGGCTGACGGCGGCGAGCGGCCCGCGCGGCTTTTAATCCTCGAGCGGGTGCGGGTGGCCGCGATCGCGAGGCCCCTCCGGGCGGGAGGGCGGCGAGGGCGGCGGCCGCCGAGCCATGGAGCGCCCGGGGAGCGCGGGACAGCTGGGGCGCGGGCCGGGGGCTCTCGGCGACGCGGCGCCCCCCGAGCCCGCGATGCGTGGTGAGGGCGCAGCAGCCCCCCTCGCTCCACGTGCGCCCGAGCGGCGTTTGTTTAAGGCGGACCCGCCTTCGGGCGGAGCGCTGGGCCGCCGCGGCCCCGGGAGGGGGTTGGGGGGGGGGCCTGGGGGAGGGACCGCGGCGGGGGCGGGGGCGGCCAACCTCGCCTCTCGACCTCGCCTCCGCGTCGCGGCCTCCAGGGACGCGGCACCCGGACACCCTCGCGCTGCCGGGGCGCAGGAGGAAGCCGTGGTGAGTGCTCGCGGTGCGCCCCGGGAAGCAGGGGTGGGGCACGGCGGGGTGGCCGAGGCCCCCGGTGGCCCCACGGAGGGGGGTGCGCTCGGCCCGCGGAGCCCGCGTGGTCCCTTCCCCTCCCACGTTGCCGATCTCGGAGTTGAAAGTGGGGAGACAGGAACGGAGGGAGGTGGCGCGAGAGACGAGGGGTGACCCCGACTCTGCTCCGGGCGCGGGCGCGGAAGGGGAGAGGCGCTCTCGGTCCGAGGGGGAAGAGACCGTGGATCTGGGGCACTGGGAGCCTCGCCTGCCCCAGAGGCCTGGCCCGGAGCGCCGGCGGGAACTTGGGCTCGGCACCGCGGCTCTCGCCCTGAGACCCAGCGCAGCGGAACTTCGGGGCGCGAGCCTGGAACGGGAGCTGCTGGTGCTGCGGGGTGAAGGTCGCCCCGGGAAGACCATCGGATTGTTTTGCCTGGGACTTAGGCGATGGCGCTGACGGCGCCCATGGAGACTTGACCGCCCCTCATTTCCCTTCAGGGTCACCCGCAACCCCCAGGGTGCGCCTGCACCCCAGCAGGGGGTCCTTTTTTTCCCCTGAGGACCTCAGCGATCTTGAAGACTCCACAGCCCTCTCAGGAGATGCTGGGAGGACTCCAGGTTCCCCGGAGCATGGGGCTGGAGGGCACCCATAGGGAACGTGGGCGCGGGCTGGACGCTTGGGGACAGCAGGGCGCCAGATCTGCTGGTCGGTTAGGGGAGGGCCACGAGCTGGGACGTGAGTTCTCCAACGCTTCCTCTCTCCCTCCCCAGGGCCTGCTGCTGGGCGCTGATGCCCAGTACTGACCTGCTGCCTGCCTCCCTCCCCAATGCCTGTGTGTGTGTGTGTGTGTGTGTGTGTGTGTGTGTGTGTGTGTGTGTTAAACCCCAGACTTTCTCCAGGGACCTCTCTCTCTCTCTCTCTCTCTCTCTCTCTCTCTCTCTGGTTTTGGTGAGCACTACCCCTGGCGGTGTGCTCAGGTGAGGCTCAGCGGAGCTATATGAGGTGCATGGGGATTGGACTCTGGTTGTGGGTGTACAAAGTGCCTTATCCTCCAGAGGCCCCTCTGAAGGTGAAAAGTTTGCGGTGTTGGAGGCTAGCCCTGGTGAGACTAGTGTGCCCCGACCCCAGCTGGCTCTACAACTGACCTCCTGCCCCGGAGAATCCACAGATCAGTGGCCCAGGCTGGAGGGGGGGCGTGGGAGAGGGGGATGGTTGGCTCACCCCAAGTTGAGGGTGGGGCCACACTTTCCCTTTGGATTTCAGAGCCAGGGACCAGGTCCTGCCAGCCTCTGCTTTAGGAATCCAGGCCTGAGCCCTTCCAGGGCTGGTGCAACCCCCCACCCCTTCCCCAACACACACACTTGAGGGTCGCTTCTGCAAGGCACTTTCCTGCCCGGCGGGAGGATTTTACGCTCCCCCACGGTTTCTGAGTCTTCAATTATGCACCCGGGAGAATTCCTCCCAGGCTTGAAAGGGATTAGCCAGATCGCAGAAACATGGCTAAGTGGCAGAGGGAGAAAGCCCGCACGCAAGAGCGCAAACATAGCTGCAATCCCAGTCCCGCCTTTTCCCGGAGAGCAGCCTGTGGGAGGTTGGTGACCTGGGATAACCATCCAGTAACTGCCTTCTGGGGTGAGATGAGGTCTCCATGCCAGAGGTGTGTGTGTGGGGGGGGGGGGGTACTGGTAGCATCATGCGGGGGTTGAAGGCTGGCAGACGTGGGAGGGTGGTAGTGGGAGACACGCTTAGATGCCCTGTGAGGCCGCACCCAGCACACAGGCACACGCCCACCTACAGTTTCCCCTCTGCTAGGAAACCGTGGTCCACACGGAATGGCCAAGAACAAATCCTCTGTGCCTGGATGAAGTCATCAGAACAGGAGATTTGGGCCAGACCCCCACCCCCACCCTAAAGGCTAGAAGCCAGGCGGTCAACTTCAGAAGAACCCACACCCATGCTGATCAGCATCTGGGTGGGGTGGAGGGGAGGCGGACACCTGCTGTGTCCATCACCTGGGGCTGGCCCAGGGGATCTGCACTTTGGGCCTAAAGTCGTGAGCTCCAGGCTCAGAGGGTGAAGACCACCAGCCTTGCATGTCCCAGGGGATGGTAGGGACCCCCCGTCATCTAATCCCCTTTGCTCCCCCTCCATTCCACGACATTACCCAGAAAGGGCCGTTTTTTCCTACTGGCCAGGAACAATCGACCGCGAGGTAAAACTGGGACGTTGGTGGGGGGAGGGGGGAGGTCGGGGGAGCGCACCGAGGCCGAGAGCCTTGTGTCCCAGCCGCCTGCTTGGCCGGGCGCCCCACCTCCTTTGTGGGTCCTGCTCCCCGCGCTTGAGCGCACCCCGACTCGCACCAGCCCGCCTCGGCCGCCTCCCACCCCTGTTCGAAATTTTCCATTAGGAAAGTGATCTGGAAGAAATTGAGGCCCCAAGAGGAAGGAGGCGGCCCGGCCGCCCCACATCTGCTGGGATTTTCCGCTTCACATGCTCCGCAACTGTTTTCGCGGCGCGCGCCAGGAGCCTACCTGCAGCCCAGCCCCCGCGGAAGCCTCGATCCCCGACCCGGGGCCACAGCCCGAGAGTTCCACCATGATGGGCCACCCTCGGGTCCCCCAGGCTGCCGCAGTAACACTCGGGGAAGGGTCAGACACTTTGATGCTTAGGAGGGTTGAGGGGAGTGCTCCAAGCATCCACTTAGGGCAGTAGAATGGGGTTTGACCCCAAGTCTCCAAGTTCGGCCTTGGAGTTTTTTAGGTTTTCGTTTGGGGGAGGGTTGGGGCGGTCACACTGGGCGAGTGTAAGGCGAACTCCTAGCTCTGTGCTCAGGGATCAACCCTAGTGGTATTGGGAGAGGTGCCAGCCAGGGTGGGCCAACCCCTTGCCAGCTCTCCAGCCCATCCAAGGGCTATTTTAAGAACGTCAGCCATGGGTACAAGCCCTGGCAAAGGAACATGCAAAACTGTGAGGGTATATCGCGACTTCTCAATTTGCGAATCTTTGTCTTTACCAGCTCCCAGCAATCTGGCCTGCAGCTCACTTATGCTAAAAGTGAGCACAGAAATTTCCGCGAGTGGGGGGTGGGGCGGGATTATCTAAACTAACGTAAGAAACGTAGAAAACCCAAGCTTTGCCTCTTGTAAACTCTGAGGGGACACCACCAGCTTTGTTAGGGTGGGAGGTTAAGGTTACTCCCAGGAAGGAGCAAACAATAGTTAAACAATAATTAAAAATTACCGCTGGCCATTTAAAAGCAATTACTGACATCCAGAGCAATTTCATCAACGCAGGCTCCATCCGAAGGCAGGCTGGAGGGTCTGCCTATTCCTTCCAAAGTCAGAGAGCTATTTTTTTAAACTTTCTTTTCTTGGGCTTTATTTGGCCTCCATGCTTTCACAACAAAGCTCCTCTGTGAGAGAAAGTGTTTGCTTTGAAGCAGGTTGAACGCTGTCTAGTTACAGAGCAGTAACAAGGGGGCGGGTATTTCTGCCCTGTCCGGGTCCTGGAAGCTCTTCCTCGATTTGGGTTGTTCTTCCTTTGGGGGTGCACCATCAGAACTGGGGAGCAATAAGAGACTGGGGGCCTCCCTTTGTAATAGTTCCTTACAGGATTTACTCCCAGCTCCTGGCCTGCTCCCGGCTGATTTGGGAACCACCCAAACTCCTCACTCCTTGTTCTGGAACTGGGACCCCAGGTCACCAGCCAAGCCAAGACAGGTGTCCAGGTCCCGGAAAGTTTACTAGCTGTTCTTCCTCCTTCTCCCTCCTGAGGCGAGTACTTGGGGGCAGAGAAACAGTTTCGGTCACTGGTAATTAACAATCGTGATTAGGAAAGTCCCAGGGCGCCGGCTGTGATTTGGGAACAGGACTATTACATGGATTATTTTGCCGGGGAGGAGAGGGTAGCCTTTACCGCTGCCTTCTCCCCTCCCTGACTCCTCAAGGGACCTGCATGGACTGGGGATTTGGGCCAGCCCCTTCCAATGCACACCTGCACACAACCTTCTACGCGCATCGGCACCTCCCCAAGATCCCACTCTCCCTCCATCCCCCCACCTCAGCAGCCTGGGAACCCCGAACGCGCGCCCAGCGCCCACCCTTTCCGACCCAGCCGCCTTGAGTCTCTTGCGCTCGGCCTGTGGCTGTATTAACGGCAAAAGGCACCTCAAAATGCTGGGGAAAAGTAGCCTCTTCATGGCCCCAGAAAAGACAAGCTTTTTTCCCCTCTGATGGCCCGAATGGTGGTGGAAAGTCCTGCTGGAACAGCTGGAGCGTCTTGCCAAGCCGGGTGTGCACGAGGGGCGCCCTTCAAT